GGCACCGCAATTGAAGGAAGATGTTGACAAGCTGGAATGTGTCCAGAGGAGGGCGACTCAAAGAATCAAGGGTCTGGAGAACAAACCCTATGAGGAGCGACTTAAAGAGCTGGGCATGTTTAGCCTGCAGAAGAGAAGGCTGAGAGGAGACATGATGGTCATGTATAAATATGTGAGGGGAAGTTATAGGGAGGAGGGAGCAAGCTTGTTTTCTGCTGCCCTGGAGACTAGGATGCAATGGAACAATGACTACAGGAAAGGAAGGAGATGCCACCTGAACATGAGGAAGAACTTCCTGACTGTGAAAGAGTGGAACTTTTTCTCTGCCCTGGAGTGTGGTGGAAGCTCCTTCTTCAGAGGCTTTTAAGCAGAGGCTGGATGGCCATCTGTCAGGGGTACTTTGAATGTGATTTTCCTGCTTCTAGGAAGGGGATTGGACTGGATGGCCCATAAGGTCTCTTCCAACTCTATGATTCTTTTCCACCTCTTTCCAAGGAAGCTCCCCAGATCCTAGACTGGTGCCTGGCAGCCGTGATGGACTGGATAAGGGCTAACAATCTGAAATTTAATCCAGACAAGATAGATGTCCTCCTGGTCAGTCGTGAGGATGATCAAGGTCTAAGGTGGCAACCTGTGCTCGACGGGGTTACACTCCCACTGAGGAGACAGGTCTGGGGGTTTCCTGGATTCATTGCTGACGCTTGAAGCTCAGATGTCAGTGGTGGCTAGGACGGCCTTCACACAATTAACTTTTGTGCCAGCTGCGACCATATCCCGAAAAGCCTGACTTGGCCATGGTGGTTCACACATCCAGCATGGACTACTGTAATGCACTCTACGTGAGGCTGCTTTTGAAGATGGCTTGGAAGCTGCAGTTGGTGCAAAGATTGGCAGCTGGATTGGCAACTGGGGCTAGCTATAGGGAACACATTATGCCCCTATTAAAGCAGCTCCACTTGATGCCGACAAGTTTGCATTACCATTTCAAAGTGCAGGTCATTACCTACAAAGCCCTATGGTTCGGGTCCTGCCTATCTTTGTGACCGCATCTCCCCCTATGAACCGGTGCAGGTTCTAAGATGTGCTAGGGAGGCCCTCCTGTCGGTCCTGCCTCTGTCTCAAGCATGGTTAGTGGGGACAAAGAGAGCCCCCCCCCAAGCTTTGGAACGCCCTCCCCAGGGATATTAGCCTTGCCCCCACACTACAATGTTTCCGCAAGGAGCTGAAAACATGGCTCTTCAGGCAGGCTTTTGGAAATGATTAAGACGTCTGCTAATCTAAGGACCAAGCAACACATTATTGACACTGGCACTTTAATAGTCAAATTTGGGCTGTGGCTGAGATGTTGTCCTACTCATTTTAATGCCAATTAGTAATGTTTTATTGATTTTAATTGGGATTGTGTTTTTTTTTAATTTTCGTAATGTGCTGTTTGTATGGGAACTGATATTGTCATTGTCTATTATGTTGACGTGATTTTACCTGTATTTTATTATTTATTTATTTATTTAAAACATGTATATTCCGCCCTTCTCACCCCAAAGGGGACTCAGGGCAGAGCACAGCATATACACGGCATTCCGTGCCGGGACACAAATTCACATACAATACATAAACATTAAAAAAAAATTATCAAAATACTAAAATACACCATTTTATGTATTTATGGCATTTGTGTGTGCTTCTGCAAGCCGCCCCAAGTCCTTTTTGGGGAGATGGTGGTGGGTATAAATAAAGTATTATTATTATTATTATTATTATTATTATTATTAGCTTGGGTACCTGGCGTTGCCTGGGTTATTAGAAGTCATTGGTGTGGAATTTGCATGATCCCATCCACTGCCTCTCCCTTAACCCTTTCCTATTCTTTTGGGCTGGTCCATGAGGTCACGAAGAGTCGGAAGCGACTGAACGAATAAACCACAACAACTCTTTTCAACTCTGTCTGCACAACAAACAGAGCAGAATTAATCAGCAACAAAACATGCTGCAGGACTTTGGGGGATTGATTCTACATAATGGAAATTGTAGTTCAACCTGTATCAAGTCAGTGATCCCCACTGACAATGTACCTGGACCACGTTTGGCACACAGAACCCCCATGACCATAGAAAAATACTGGAGAGGTTTAGGGGGAATTCTCCTTGATTTATAGCCATTGTAGGTACTGGAATTTATAGTTCAACTGCAATCAATTTTTTTATTTTACAAAATGCATAAGGTTGTGGGTGAACTATGACACATCATGCCATTTTAACCCTCCTGAAACTCCATCAATAGTTTGTCATGTTGGGTAAGTTTGCTCTAGAAGCATCATTGGTGAGGTGCAGCGTGCTCTCTGGTTGCAGGATGAATTACAACTCCCACCATGGTGGGTCACTCCCATCAAACCCCTCCAGTACATTCAGTTGGGGGTTCCGTGTGCAAAGTATGGTCCAGTTCCATCATTGGTGGGGTGCAGAGGGTTCTTTGCTTGCAGGTGAACTATAAATCCCAGAACTTGCAACCAGCAAATGTCAAGGCCAATACTCCCCAAAACCTACCAGTATTCAAATTTGGTCCAGATCGACCATTGTTTGCATTGTAGGTGAACTATAATTCTGATAAATCAAGGTGAATTTTCCCCAAAGCCCTCCTGCATTTTTTGTTGGTCATGGGGCTTCTGTGTGCCAAGTTAGGTCCAGAGCCATCATTGGTGGGGTCCAGAGTGCTCCTTGATTGCAGGTGAACTATAAATCCCAGTACCTACAACGGCTATAAATCATGGTGAATTTCCTCCAAACCTCTCCAGTATTTTTCTTTGGTTCTGGGGATTCTGTGTGCCAAATGTGGTTCAGGTCCATTGCCACTGGGAGTCACAGTGCTCTGACTTGATGCAGGGTGAACTACAACTTCCATTATGAGGAATCAATCCCACAAACTCCTCCAGCATGTTTAGTTACTGATTAGTTCTGCCCTGTTTGTTGTGCAGACAAAATTGAAATGAATAGGAAAAGATTAAGGAAGAGCCAGTGGGCGGGGTCATGCAAATCCCACACCAATGGAGAGAGTAAAGAACACTGGGATGCCTGGGGTGGAGGAAACACATAAAATCAAGGATGAAATGGTCCCCATAGGAAAGCTTTCACTTGGGTGTTGGGTAGTGTGGTGTTTGTGGAGGACGTTGGCAGGGCTCTTGGACATGTTCATGACACTCATTATAACCTGCAATGTCATTGGAGGGAGGACCTGTGGTGGCTCCTCATAGGTGGGGATCAAAGCTGTTTGTGGAAGTGGAAGCCTGTCTGGAAGTGGGCACCCCAGTGGGTTTGCCTGGCCAAGTAGAGATTTGAACCCGTCTCCAGAGCCATAGTCCCACACTCACACCGAAACACCATGCGAGCTTCAATGACTTAATTGTACTTATCCGGGGGCTTAATACAAGTGTGCAGTGGTTTAATATGATTTATGCCGTGACGCCATGTGGATTATACACCGGCTGCATTTGGATTAGGCAGTAGATCAGCACACAGTGGCTTAATTTGGCATAGGCAGGGACTTAATATGGCTTATACAGTGGCTTAATACAATGCCTACACTGTCTCGGATAGGAGGCCACAAGATCCTATCTGACCGTGAAAGCTAAGCAGGGTCAGCCCTGGTGACTATTTGGATGGGAGATCGGCAACACACTCCAGATCCTGTGGGTGCTGTTTCAGAGGAAGCGACTACCAAAACCGCCTTTGTTGCCTCCGAAAACCCTATGAAAACCATAACATCACTGTTGGTGTACAGGCAACTCAAAGGCCCACGGATGTGAAAATTGTGGGGTTACTATATATCAGACATGGGCAAAACCAGGCCTGGGAGCCGGATGAGGTCCTTTGGGTTCTTTTCTCAGGCCTTCCTCTCTCTCGGCATACTATCCTTCCTTCTCTCTTTCCTTCCTCCTTCACTCCTCCTTCCCTCCCTCTTTCTCCCACCCACTCTCCATCCTTCCCATCCACCCTTTCTTCCTTCCCACTTGATTTAGTGACTTGATATGTAACGCACTTTCCTCCCTCTCTCCCTCTTTCTCCTTCCTTCCTTCCCCCCTCCCTCTTGTCTTTTATTCCTCCTCTCTTTCCTCTGTCTCTACCTCTTTCTCTTTCCTTCTTTCCTTCTTTCCTTCCTTCCTTCCTTCTCTCTTTCCCTTATCATTCTCTCCCTCCCTCCCTTCATCATTCCATTCCTTCCTTCTCTTTTACCTTTCCTTCCTTCTCTCTTTTCTCCCCCTCTCTTTTTCTCCCTCCCTCGCTCCCTCCCTCCCTTCCTTCCCTTTTGTCCTTCTTTCCTTTATCCTTCCCTTTCTTCCTTCATCTTTCCCTTCCATCCATCCTTCTCTTCCTCCCTTTCTTCCTCCCTTTCTTCCTTCCTTCCCTTTTACCTTTCCGCCCTTCCTTCTTTTCGCCCCCTCTCCCTTTTTCTCCCTCCCTCCCCCACCCCCTCCCGTCCTTCCCTTTTATCTTTCCTTCCTTTCCTCCTTCCTCCTTCTCTCCCTGTCTATCTGATGTCTATCTGACTATCTGATTGTCTATCTGACTATCTATCTATCTATCTATCTATCATCTATCTATCTATCTATCTATCTATCTATCTATCTATCTATCTATCCTCTGAGCCAACACGACAAGTTCATAAGCATGCATCATAGGGGACATTGTTTTACCTCCCCTCTAAGGAAGGTAATACATTCCATTTTGCAAGGGTGAATTCTTTTCGACTACAGCTTGAAATGCTTTGAAACAGCACATCTTTACTAATCTCTCTCTAAAACGTTTCGAAGGCTTCTGTTCCATTTCGTAATGCTTCAGAGGAGGGTCTCATTCCGATTAGTAATTCGGAGATTTCGTATTGACAAATCATACAAATCTCTGCATTCTGAAGCTTTGCACAGCCCTGTTATTTAGTGACTTGATATGTAACACAATATGTTTCGAACCTATGGCCTCACGTTCCTCTCTCACCTTGAACCCTCTCAGGTCTGACGGGTGCTCCATATGAAGACCATGAACCCCGCTTGCCTGCTTCCCATTCTGCTTCTGCTGCTGGAGGTCCCCATCCATGCGCTCTTCCCCGAAGAACCTGGCCCCATCAGCGTGGCCCTCGATGAATGTAAGTGGGGCCATTGGAAGCATCTAGTGGTTGGGAGAGAAGTGTGGGTGGATGTCCATAGCATTGTGTAAGACTTCCCCAGACAGTAAGGATAGCTGTTCAACAGTGGAACTCTCTGTTACACTCTAGCACTGGAACACCCTTTCACCCAACACACACCAGAGTCCTGTAAGCCAATTAAATAATATTTATTAGATAATAATAATAATAATATTAATGCATATTATTATTATTATTATTATTATTATTATTATCTAATAAACATTCCAAAAGATCTCAGCCGGCATTTGGAAACAATAAACATCGACAAAATCACGATCTGTCAACTGCAAAAGGCCACCTTACTTGGATCTGCACGCATCATTCGAAAATACATCACACAGTCCTAGATGCTTGGGAAGTGTTCGACTTGTGATTTTGTGATACGAAATCCAGCATATAGATCTCGTTCGCTGTGACATGCTGTGCTTTTGTGTCATTAAAATAATAATAATACTTTATTTATATTCGGCTCTATCTCCCCGAGGGGACTCAGAGCAGATTACAACATACACAGATAGGCAAACATTCAATACCTTTAATACAATGGAATAACAATGAGATACAAATAAACAGAATTAAGGTAAATGGCTTCCCCTTTCATCTCCAGCTTTGTGGAGGCGGTGCTCAACTCTGACCATGGGGAGCTGCTCTTGTTCCATTTCCTAGCCGATGAGCATGTTTTCCATAAACACCTCCTGGTCGCGTTGTCTGCATGGGCCTTTATTACCTTCCTACCAAAGTGGTACCTATTTATCTACTCACATTTGCATGTTTTCAAACTGCTAGGTTGGCAGGAGCTAGGGCCAGGGGCGGCTCAACCCATTATGCAAAGTAAGCATTCGCAGTATAGTTGATTTTGCCCAGGGGCGCTCTTGAGGCGCTCTTGGGGGGAAATAAACCTTGACATATGCGAGTTGTAGTTACTGGGATGTATAGTTCACCTAAAATCAAAGAGCATTCTGAACTCCAGCAATGATGGAATTGAACCAAATATGGCACACAGAACTCCCATGACAAACAGAAAATATATATCAATGATTGGTGGGAGGGGGGGGGGGCGCCAAAATACTGTTTGCTTACCGTTGAAAATTACCTAGGGCCGCCTCTGGCTAGGGCTAACAGTAGGAGCTCACCCCAGCCCACGTCTTTGAACTGCCTACCTTTAGGTGAGCAGATTCAACAATTCAGTGCAGCGCTTTCTGGAAGCGGTGCTCAACTCTGACCATGGGGAGGTGCTCTTGTTCCATTTCCTAGCCGATGAGCCTGTTTTCCGTAAACACCTCCTGGTCGTGTTGTCTGCATGGGCCTTTATTACCTTCCTGCCAAAGTGGTACCTATTGATCTACTCACATTTGCATGTTTTCAAACTGCTAGGTTGGCAGGAGCTAGGGCTAACAGTAGGAGCTCACCCCAGCCCGCGTCTTTGAACTGCCTACCTTTAGGTCAGCAGATTCAACAATTCACTGCAGTGCAAAGAAAGTACCAAGACGGCAAATCCAGAAGTGTCAGTAAAGATATAAAATGCAATGCATAAAAGAAGCCAGATTTCCGTAGCAGTAATCCAAAAATGCCAGGTTAAAACACAAAGCCAAGGAATGTAAAATCACAGATTGAATCCAAAGGTGTATTATCCATGAACATGAAAACAGGAACTTCTCCAAGGTAAATTCTACAAAGATACATAGGTATAATCAGGAACATGAAACAGGAATCATGATCAGGAATCATAAACCAGAATCATGGACTGATCCCCTATAGCAACATTGTCTCCTCTGAGAGGCCTGAAAGCAAAACACTTAATTTAAGCCCTCCAAGACACCTATGACATCATGCCTCACACATCTTAACTTCAAGGTCTTATTTCAAATCCTCTGAGAATATCTATTTTGCCGGCTTTTCACACCCTGCATTCTCAGGTCTAATCTATTCTCCCTTGAAAACTCCTCGTCTTCCCAAGGCTTTTCGCAAGGGAACTGGTACTTTCATTTTCCCCTGTTGCCTGGGAACGAGCTGAATCCAATACATCAGTCTCGTCTGCCTGCAGTTCCCGCTGAATACTCACAGACTCCTCACTTTTAAACCCATCATCCCCCTCATCCTCTGAACATTCAGAAAAATGTATTGTCGAAGGCTTTCATGGCCGGAATCACTGGGTTGTTGTAGGTTTTTTCAGGCTATATGGCCATGGTCTAGAGGCATTCTCTCCTGACGTTTCGCCTGCATCTATGGCAAGCATCCTCAGAGGTAGTGAGGTCTGTTGGAACTAGGAAAAGGGTTTATATATCTGTGGGATGACCAGGGTGAGACAAAGGACTCTTGTCTGCTGGAGCTAGGTGTGAATGTTTCAACTGACCACCTTGATTAGCATATAATGGCCTGACAGTGTCTAGAGCAAACTTTTGTTGAGAGGTGATTAGATGTCTTTGTTTGTTTCCTCTCTGTTATTGTGCTGTTATAATTTTAGAGTTTTTTTAAATATTGGTACATACATACATACATATATATATACATACCGATAGAAACCAATATTAACCAATTCTACATTTTCATAGAATTCTAGAGTTGGAGGGGACCCGCAAGGGCCATCTAGTCCAACTCCCAGACAGAAGGGCACCATCAAAACTCTCCTGACAAATGGCCTCCCAGCCTTTAAACTAATTAATATACTTTCCCTATTGAGGGGAAGTATATTAAGCACTGATCTAGTAAAGGTAAAGGTATTCCCCTGATATTAAGTCCAGTCATGTCTGACTCCGGAGGTTGGTGCTTATCTCCATTTCTAAGCCAAAGAGCCGGCATTGTCCATAGACACCATGCAGTCATGGCTGGCATGACTGCATGGAACGCTGTTACCTTCCCGCCGGAGCACTACCTATTGATCTAATCACATTTGCATGTTTTCGAACTGCTAGGTCGGCAGAAGCTGGGGCAAAGAGTGGAAGCTCACGCCGCTCCCTGGATTCGAACCTGTGACCTTTTGGTCAACAAGTTCAGCAGCTCAGCGGTTTAACCCACTGCACCACCAGTGGCTCCCATCATTGATTTACTTACTTGTATTGAAGTATCCATCAGTCCTCCTCTTTGCAGATTCAACCATTCATTCGAACTCTGGCTGGCTGCTGCGACAGAGTGACAAATCTCTCCTCTATTCTGGTTGGGACTTTCTGATGTGAGCAGTATTCTGGGAAATGGAGTTGACTGCAGGGCCTTTTGCATTCTCCGCCACAGGGCTCCTCACCTTCCCAAACTAAATTTCCCAGAGTTCTGTGCTTTCTTTCCCAGCGAACTCTGCTTTCTCCCTGCTGCTTCCCTCTCCTGATGGTGAGAGGCCATTCATTTAAAGAGGAAAGGCGGCCTTTTTGGCTTTGCTTTGCTTCCTTGTGCTGAACATAAAACTGATTTTGGAAGGCTTCCGAGGTTTACAAAATGCAAATAAAAAGGATTGAGTTTCAATTCTTAAGCTTTTAGCGCACGCATCAGATATGCCTCGTAAGTACGAATGTAAAGAATTTGATATGACTTATGAGGAATCATGATAATTATGCATACCTCTAATGTCCAGATCCTTCTACCTTTTCTCATAAGTTCCCCATCCCACTTATTGGCCTTCTTTGAAGTCATTCGAACTCACCTATATCCATCCCTATTCTTGCAGATGTGAAGCAGTACTCGGTCTTTGTGGGGAATGGCATGGGACGCTTCTCCAGCCAAGACGGGGGAGCTGAGCGCCTCAACATCCAGCGCATGCTGATCGTCAACAGGACCTTGTTTGTTGGAGAAAGGTAACCACAGTGCGTGATCACTCACTGTCCCTCATTTGCCCTGAACAGCTTCAGAATTCTTGGGCCAAACATCCAAATTACTCCAAAATGGTCCAAGCGGATAGCTGAGAGAGTGGCACCTTTGCTTAAAGATGGTTCCCATAAATACAGACTTGGTGCGCAAAATTGTTTCAGAGATTGTTCATACCGTCCCTTTAGGACTATGCTTATAAGGTATATATGATAAGTTATGCGTAAATGTGTGTATGTGTATACACACACATACACATAGTCTGTGCGAAGTGGCTGAAATCCAATCAGTAATTCATTTTTGGAGATTCAGATGGCCTATCGCTGTGTTTCTTAAAGATTCGGAGGGGTCTCATTTCGTTTCGTGATCCGAACCTTTGAAGCTTCGTAATTGTTTTGTTCCGATTCATTCCGTTGGCAGCAAAGGGGAAAATTCCAAGGCTTGTTTCTCCGTTTTGAGTATTGTCTTTGTAAAGTTATGGTGCATTCTTTCTGCAGACCTGTCTCCTTCCAAATACAGACCGTTCCTGAGTTGCAAACATCCAACTTACAAGCGACTCGTAGTTAAGAACAGGACTGAGACAACAGGAAGTAGACCTTCTAATGGTCGGAGATAATATTAGTATCCAATTGCTATAACGTTTACAAATCACAGGGTTATTTCCAAAGCAGAATTGAGTGGGCAGTGACTTTCCTCGATCTGGAAAAACGAAATGCAAAGATACAGAATGGGGACAATACCTGGCTCAAGAGCAGTACGTGTGAAAAAGATCTTGGAGTCCTCGTGGACAACAAGTTAAACATGAGCCAACAATGTGATGTGGCGGCAAAAAAGCCAATGGGATTTTGGCCTGCATCAATAGGAGCATAGTGTCTAGATCTAGGGAAGTCATGCTACCCCTCTATTTCGCTTTGGTTAGACCACACCTGGAATATTGTGTCCAATTCTGGGCACCACAATTCAAGAGAGATATTGACAAGCTGGAATGTGTCCAGAGGAGGGCGACTAAAATGATCAAGGGTCTGGAGAACAAGCCCCATGAGGAGCGGCTTAAGGAGCTGGGCATGTTTAGCCTGAAGAAGAGAAGGCTGAAAGGAGATATGATAGCCATGTATAAATATGTGAGAGGAAGCCACAGGGAGGAGGGAGCAAGCTTGTTTTCTGCTTCCCTAGAGACTAAGACACGCTTCAAACTACAAGAGAGGAGATTCCATCTGAACATAAGGAAGAACTTCCTGACTGTGAGAGCCGTTCAGCAGTGGAACTCTCTGCCCCGGAGCGTGGTGGAGGCTCCTTCTGGAAGCTTTTAAACAGAGGCTGGATGGCCATCTGTCAGGGGTGATTTGAATGCAATATTCCTGCTTCTTGGCAGGGGGTTGGACTGTATGGCCCATGAGGTCTCTTCCAACTCTTTGATTCTATGATTCTATGATTCTATGTACACTTTTTTCCTCTTGTGCAACCTAGAATCACATTGGCTTTTTTCTGCTGCTGCATCACACTACTGGCTCATGTTCAGTTTGTTGTCTACTAGAAATGTGCAATTAGTAATTTGGTTCGGAAATTTGTATGCCCCCCACTTCATTTTGTAAAGATTCAGAGGGATCCAATTTCGTGTCCTAATCCAAATCTCCGAAGCTTCATAATGGTTTCGTTAAGATTTGCTCCATGAGGAAAATTTCAAGACTTGTTTCTCCATCATTTCTATGGCAATCAGGATGAAACTTGGCACACTTGTAGGCAAAATAATAGTAATAGTAATAATAATAATAATAATAATAATAATAATAATAATAATAATAATAATAATCTTTATTTATACCCCGCCACCACCTTCCCGATGAGGACTCGGAGTGGCTTACATGAAGCCAAGCCCAAACAACAATTACAATAAAGAAAAAGCCAAAACACAAACCGAAAACACAAACAATAAACAATAGCATCATATTAACATAAAACATATGCATACATAACAATGTAAAAATTACAATAAGCACAGACACAATAATAATGGGCGGGCTACATGTAATGATTAAAAGACAAACTGATTAAAACTAATTAAAAACTCGGGCGAGATAAAGAGGAGAAGCAGGTAATTTGCGGAGGAGAGCTCAATTATAGCGGGGTTGTGGGAGCAGGCTTTCCCACGAGGGAGGGGGGGACGACGAATACTCCGATGACAGAACTTGAGGCTGAGCAATAATGTGAAATTGTATACTTACTCATCAAAGACACAGCAGAAGAGCCAGGTTTTGAGGTTATTTTAAAAAATTTCTAGGGAAGGGGCTTTCCTAATTTCTCCAGGCAGTGAGTTCCAGAGTCGGGGAGCCACAGCGGAAAAGGCTCTCTCCCTTGTACTAACCAGGCGAGCTTGTAAAACTGGCAGGGGCGAGAGAAGGGCCTCCCCAGAAGATTGGAAGGCCCGAAGTGGTTCATGGAGGGAGATACAGTCACAAAGATAGGCGGGTCCCAAACCGTTTAGGGCAGTGTTTCTCAACCTGGGGGTCGGGACCCCTGGAGAGGTCGCGAGGGGGTGTCGGAGGGGTCACCAAGACCACCAGAAAACACAGTATTTTCTATTGGTCATGGAGGTTCTGTGAGGGAATTTTGGCCCAATTCAATCATTGGTAGGGTTCAGAATACTCTTTGATTGTAGGTGAACTATAAATCCCAGTAACTACAACTCCCAAATGCCAAGGTCTATTTCCCCCAAACTCCACTAGTGTGTACATTTGGGCATATTGAGAATTTGTGCCAAGTTTGGTCCAGAACCATCATTGTTTGAGTCCACAGTGCTCTCTAGATGTAGGTGAACTACAACTCCCAAAACTCAAGGTCAATGCCCACCAAACCCTTCCAGCATTTTCTGTTGGTCATGGGAGTTCTGTGTGCCAAGTTTAATTCAATTCCATCGTTGGTGGAGTTCAGAATGCTCTTTGATTGTAGGGGAACCAAACACTTCTTGTCCCGAGCGTTTTGGATGCATAACCTGTAGGGTGTATGCATGTATGCGCGTTGCCCTCGAAATTGGTCAGAAGATCATGGGAGGTCCATCGAAGGACAGTCTGCACCTGCAAGTCACTGTGCCATGATTCTTGTCTTAAAGGTACAGGAGCCCTTTCCCAGTTTCAATCTAGCCATCCATTCTAGCAGGACGTCTGTTTCTTTAAGGGAAGCATCAGATTGCATTTGAGAGAGCCAAGCTGGGACCAGTGTGCAAAGTGGGGGGTAAAGAGAGCCGCAAAGGGGTGCCGGTGCACAAAGGAGACCCAGTGTTGCCTGAATCCAGAGTAAGCAGGCCATGCGGCTGTGCTTGAGGCCTGCTGCGTCACCATGGCAACCTGCAGTCCAGAGGAAGAGCAAAAAGAAAAGAAAAATAAATGAAAGGATGGAGAAAAGGGGAGAGTGTGAAAAAATAACTGTGATTGGGCACATTAAGACTAGTGCATTTCAGTAAGAAAGACGATATAGATAGATAGATAGAGGGAGGAAGGGAGGGAGAGATGATGGATGGATGGATGGATGGATGGATGGATGGATGGATGGATGGATGGACGGACAAAAGGGAATGAATGAAAGACGGAAAGAAGGGGAAAAAGAAAGAGAGAGGGAACACCACTTTGAGTCTCCTGCAGGAGAGATAAAGTGGGGTATAAAAAATATAATAATAATAATAATAGTAATAATAATAATAATAATAATAATAATTTCTGTTAGGGCAGTGTTTCTCAACCTGGGGGTCGGGACCCCTGAGGGGGTCGCAAAGGGGTGTCAGAGGGGTCGCCAAAGACCATCAGAAAACACAGTATTTTCGGATGGTCATGGGGATTCCATGTGGGAAGTTTGAGCCAATTCTATCGTTGGTGGAGTTCAGAATGTTCTTTGATTGTAATGAACTATAAATCCCAGCAACTACAACTCCCAAATGTCAAGATCTATTTTCCCCAGACTCAAAAGTTGGAAGAGACCTCCTGGGCCATCCAGTCCAACCCCATTCTGCCAAGAAGCAGGAATATTGCATTCAAATCACCCCTGACAGATGGCCATCCAGCCTCTGTTTAAAAGCTTCCAAAGAAGGAGCCTCCACCACACTCCGGGGCAGAGAGTTCCACTACTGAACGGCTCTCACAGTCAGGAAGTTCTTCCTGATGTTCAGATGGAATCTCCTCTCTTGTAGTTTGAAGCCATTGTTCCGCGTCCTAGTCTCCAGGGAAGCAGAAAACAAGCTTGCTCCCTCCTCCCTGTGGCTTCCTCTCACATATTTATACATGGCTATCATATCTCCTCTCAGCCTTCTCTTCTTTAGGCTAAACATGCCCAGCTCTTTAAGCCGCTCCTCATAGGGCTTGTTCTCCAGACCCTTGATCATTTTAGTCGCCCTCCTCTGGACACATTCCAGCTTGTCAATATCTCTCTTGAATTGTGGTGCCCAGAATTGGACACAATATTCCAGGTGTGATCTAACCAAAGCAGAATAGAGGGGTAGCATGACTTCCCTAGATCTAGACACTATGCTCCTATTGATGCAGGCCAAAATCCCATTGGCTTTTTTTGCCACCACATCACATTGTTGGCTCATGTTTAACTATTTTCCCCAGACTCCACCAGTGTTCACATTTGGGCATATTGAGTATTCGTGCCAAGTTTGGTCCAGATCCACCATTGCATGAGTCCACAGTGCTCTCTGGATATAGGTGAACTACAACTCCCAAACTCAAGGTCAATGCCCATCAAACCCTTCCAATGTTTTCCATTGGTCATGGGAGCCAAGTTTGGTTCAAATCCATCGCTGGTGGAGTTCGGAATGCTCTTTGATTATAAGTGAACTATAAATCCTAGCAACTACAACTCCCAAATTACAAAATCAATCCTCGCCCAACCCCACTAGCATTCACATTTGGGTGTATTGGGTATTTGTGCCAGTTTGGTCCAGTGAATGAAAATGCATCCTGCATATCAGATATTTACATTATGATTTATAACAGTAGTAAAATGACTGTTATGAAGTAGCAATGAAAACAATATTATGGTTGGGGGTCACCACAACATGGGGGACTGTATTAAGGGGTCACGCCATTAGGAAGGTTGAGAACCACTGAGATAGACAGACAGACAGATAAATATAGAGAAAGATAAATAAGATAGATGGATACTTACTTAGGTGATCCCTCATTGTCCGAGTATGATGGCCTTCCAAGTGCAGTGACTTGGCTGTGGATACATACGTGACTGTGGCGCCCTATTCTTGATCTTCCACAGTTGTTGTTTTTTTTTTTTTTGTCGTGTCAGGAGCGACCTGAGAAACTGCAAGTCGCTTCTGGTGTGAGAGAATTAGCCGTCTGCAAGGACATTGCCCAGGGGACGCCCGGATGATTTGATGCTTTATCATCCTTGTGGGAGGCTTCTCTCATGTCCCCGCATGAGGAGCTGGAGCTGATAGAGGGAGCTCATCCGCCTCTCCCTGGATTTGAACCTGCGACCTGTCGGTCTTCAGTCCTGCCGGCACAGGGGTTTAACCCACAGTGAGGGCATTGGTTTCCAGTTGGTCCCCATCAGGGTTAGCTTGATGCACCTTCCTCTTGACGCATTTCTCCCTTTAATTCTCCATTCGTGCCTCTTTGAATTCCACAGCACTGCTGGTCACAGCTGACTTCCATTTAGAGTGCTCAAGCACCAGGGCTTCCCATTTCTTGGTGTGTATGCCACTGTTTTTAAGGTTGGCTTTGAGCCCATCTTTAAATCTCTTTTCCTGTCCAACATTTCGTTTTCCAATCTTGAGTTGGGAGTAGAGTAACTGCTTTGGGAGATGGTGATTGGGCACTTGGGCAACGTGGCCTTCAGTCCAATGGAGTTGATAGCAGAGGAGCATCGCTTCAATGCTGGTGGTCTTTGCTTCTCCCAGCACACTGACATTTGCTCGCCTATCTTCTCAAGAGATTTGCAGGATTTTTCAGAGGCAATGCTGATGGAATCATTCCAGGAGTTGAGTGTATCTGTAGACCACGTTTCACAAGCATTTATTCATTTATTTATTTATAACGTTTATATACCAGTCTTCTCACCTGCGACGAGGGAGTCAGTCCGATTTACAACAGAGGAATTCATACACAATAGTTAAAACATCACATCCTATAAAACACTAATATAAAACACATTAAAATACAATCATATAATTACATAAGGCCAAGTCGTCAGAATAAAATCACAATTCATCACCATCTGTCCGTGTGGTCAAGGGTTATTGACTCACTCATCAAATGCCAAATTCCAGAGCCAGGTTTTCACCAACTTTCTAAAGGTCAGGAGGGAAGGGGAAGCTCTAATCTCCAATGGGAGAGAGTTCCAGAGCCGAGGGGCCACCACCGAGAAGGCCCTGCCCCTCGTCCCCACCAGACGCGATTGCGAGGGTGGTGGGACCGAGAGCAGGGCCCCTTCAGAAGATCTTAACAACCTTGATGGTTCATAGGGGAGAATCCGTTCGGACAGGTAAACTGGGCCGGAGTCGTTTAGGGATTTATAGGTCAACACCAGCACTTTGAATTGTGCTCAGAAGCTAATTGGCAGCCAGTGGAGCTGACACAACAGAGGAGTCGTATGCTCCCTGTATCCCGCTCCTGTTAGTAATCTGGCTGCCGCTTGTTGTACTAATTGCAGCTTCCGGCCAGTCTTCAGAGGCAACCCCTCGTAGAGAGCGTTGCAGTAGTCTATACGGGATGTAACCAGAGTTTGGACCACCGTGGCCAAGCATATGACAAGGTTGGGAGGACAATAAGCAAGCACCTTGGTATCCCTAAGAATGTCCCAATCCTTCATTCAGAAAAATGCTGCACTCGCAGAGCTCAGGCGGTGTTGTATTTCAGTGTCAATGTTGACTTTTGTGGAGAGGTGGCTGCCAAGAGAGTTGAAATGGTCAACATTTTCTAATGTTACACCATTAAGCTGTATTTCTGGCATTGGAGAGGGGATGGCTGGTGACTGCTGGAAGAGTACTTTGGTTTTCTCAATGTTTAATGAGGGGCTGAGCTTCGTGTATGCTTCTGTAAAGGTGTTTAGAGTGGTTTGTAGGTCTGCTTCTGAATGCGCACAAACTGTGTTATCATCAGCATATTGGAGTTCTATAACAGATGTTGTGAACTTGGTTTTGGCTTTCAGTCTGCTGAGGTTACAGATGGATAGAAGATAGGGAGTAGAGAGAGAGAGATGATATAAAAGGAGAAAAAGAGAGAAATAGAGAGGAAAAATAAGACATGATAGTGAAAGATAGAAGACAAGCTAGACTAGAGAGATGATAGATAGATAGATCAAGATAGATAGATAGAGAAAGAGAGAGAAAAGGATGATAGAATCATCGAGTTGGAAGATACCTCATGGGCCAACCCCCTGCAAGAAGCAGGAAAATCTTATTCAAAGTATTGAGGATAAAGAGAAAGCGAAGGTAGCTGGAGAAAGATAGAGAAAAGGATGGAGACTCCATATGAAAGAGATCTAGGTGTCTTAGGCAACTGCAAACTGGACAAGATTGTGATGAAGCAGCTAAAAGGGCCAATGCGATTCTATGCTGAATCAATAGGAGTAGAGTGTCTCCCACTCTATTCTGCTTTGGGTTGTTTTAACAGACAATATATTTTTTCATTCTTTGTGTTTCTATCTTCTTTTATTCCCCTTCTCTCTATTGTTTCAGGGATAACTTGTACCGGATCAGCCTGGAACCAACCTCAGCCAGCGAGATGAGATACCACCGGGTAAGTGGGGAAAGACACGTCTTTTTTCCAGGTCTGTGATATGGTTGACATAGATACATTTTTTGTTGTGACATTCCTCCATTTTTCCCAACTTCCTGCAGAAGCTGACGTGGACCTCCAACCAACATGATATCAACATCTGTCGGATGAAGGGGAAACATGAGGTACGTTAACATAAGTAAATATAAATAAATATAATAATGTGTTCTACTGAATGGTAGACAATATTGCATACAGTCTGGAATAACTGGGAGATCTAGTCCTATTTCTGGGGTGGTGACATGGATTCCTGGTAGGCTATGCTGTTGTGATTGGCTATGACTTTATTGCAACAATGACAAGACCTATCAGGGATCATTATCTAATCACAACAATATCATGACCTATCAGGGATCATTATCCAAACACAACAATATCATGACCTATCAGGGATCATTATCCAATCACAACAATATCATGACCTATCAAGGATCATTATCCAATCACAACAATAGCATGACCTATCAGGGATCATTATCTAATCACAATAATATCATGACCTAGCAGGGATCATTATCCAATCACAACAATATCATGACCTATCAGGGATCATTATCCAATCACAACAATATCATGACCTTTCAGGGATAATTATCCAATCGCATCAATGGCAAGACCTATGAGAGGTCATAATCCAGTGACATCAATGGCAAGACTTATCAGGAATCATTATCCAACCGCAACAATGGTATGACCTATCAGGGATCATTATCCAAGAATGATGTGTCCTATTCGGGATGCATGTTACTGTCCCTGTTATTTCATGGAACCACATATGGCTCTGTGTAGGAAGAGATCATGATATAGGGACATGTTTTTAATGGAGCCTAATCTGTCTCCATGACGTAATCAGGATGATGGCATGGATCATGCCACTGTTGTGATTGTATAATGATCCTTGATTGGTTATGACTTTGTCGCAACAATAAATTGTTGAATCTGCAAAGAGGAGGAATGATACCTCTAGTAAGTAAATTGGGAGGGATAGCCAATACTCCAGAAACCAGGAGTAGAATTCAAAATGACCTTAACAGATTAGAGTGATGAGCCAAAACTGGGGGCGGGGTCTGTATGCCATGTTTGGTCCTGATGCATTGTTGGCAGGGCTCTCTGTATGTCGATGCACTCCAATTCCCATGGTCCTGTGTGTGTTTGTGTCCCTCCCCCGCCACAATATTTTCTGTTAGTCATGTTGGCTCTGTGTGCCATGTGTGGTCAAATCCCTCGTCGGTGGAGGTCACAGGGCTCTCCAGGTGTGGATGAACTATGATTCCCATCACATCCTGTCACTGCAGGCACCCTGTTGTGTTTTCTGTGTATCTGTGCGCCAAGTGTGGTCCTGATGCGTTGTTGGCAGGAGTCCCAGGGCTCTCTGGGTGTGGGAAATACACGAGGAGGGAAGAGGCACTCCCGCCATGGCTCCCTCCAAGCAGGAAACCCCATTGGCGCCTGTGGTGGGTTCTCTTTCCTTGTATGAGAAATGGATCTAGCCCAGTCCCGGAAGGAGCCTTGGAGTTGACGGAAGTCATCACAATAACAAGGCATCTTTGTCTCTCAGCTCCTGCCACTCTGACACTGTTGGGGCTTCCTGGAGCGTGTACTAAAATGATCAAGGGTCTGGAGAACAAACCCTATGAGGAGCGACTTAAAGAGCTGGGCATGTTTAGCCTGCAGAAGAGAAGGCTGAGAGGAGACAGGATAGGCATGTATAAATATGTGAGGGGAAGTCATAGGGAGGAGGGAGCAAGCTTGTTTTCTGCTGCCCTGCAAACTAGGATTCAGAGCAATGGCTTCAATTACAAGAAAGGAGATTCAATCTGAACATTAGGAAGAACTTCCTGACTGTGAGAGCTGTTCAGCAGTGGAACTCTCTGCCCCGAGTGTGGTAGAGGCTCCTTCTTTGGAAGCTTTTAAACAGAAGCTGGATGGCCATCTATCGGGGGTGCTTTGAATGCAATTTTCCTGCTTCTTGGCAGGGGGTTGGACTGGATGGCCCTCGAGGTCTCTTCCAATTCTATGATTCTGTGCTGGGCTGGGAAGGAATCCCTAAATGGGAGTTCTATTGGTTAATATGCGAGACATTCAATGAGATAGCTGTTGTGGCTTTTATAGAAAATGTTTTTGTCAAAACTTTAAAAAAAATCCCAAAAATCAGTACATGTATAAACATTTCTAGAAAGTTGTGGTGAACTATCCCCTTTTACCTTGTGTCATTGTATAGAAAATTCAAGGAGATAGCTCTTGTAGTTTGTTTTTTTTAAAAAATTGTTTATAAAAACTTTGAAAATTCCCCAAAAATCCGTGATAAGTGAAACATTCTGAAACTTGATGGGCCAACAATAATCAAGGCATTCTACCATCATAATAAATTTCACCCCAATAGCTGTTGAAATGAGAGAAAGAAGCCCCTGAAGTCTCCCCACTTGTGCAATTATGAAATTTCATTATTCTTGTTATAGTAACAAAATTTTCACTAACTTTAGAAAAACCGTAGAAACGAAACACAGATGTCCCGTAATTTTGTGATGAGTTTTGAAACTTTTTTTAATCGATCACACCACCCTATTGGCTAATCGTCCCTGGTTGGTTATGACATTGTCGCAAGAAGGCCATGATTCATATCAGGGATCCATGTTGCCATCCCCATCGTATCAAGGAGCCGTATGAAAGCAGAGACGGTGAAAGAGGGCTGTGTTTTCATCCCGTTTCCCACACCGTGCTTCCAGATTATCGAAAGAGAGAACGTGGTGGGGGAAGGCAACCCTGGTTGTTAGGCATGTGCAATTTTTTTTGAAAAAGTCAGAATTTGTAAGAAAGTGGGAAGTTTTGTAAGTCGGAAGCCATATCCGAATAGGTTATGCCATTGTTGTGATTGGATAATGATCCCTGGTAGGTCATGATATTGTTGTGATTGGATAATAATCACTAAATATTTTAGAATCAACACTTACGCTATACTTTGTGTTTTAATTTTTGTCAATTTCATAAGGCTCCCAAAGTCAGTTTTGTATTCAGTGCAAGGAAGCAAAGCCATTAAGCCAAAAAGGCTGCCTGCCTGCCTTGCCATTCCTCTCCCTGGAATTAATGTAGTCTCGTCTCAGCATTAGGAGTGGTGAAAAGAGGGAACAGAACATTTTGGGAACAGCACAGAACTCTGGGAAATGTAGTTTAAGAAAGGAACGAGCCTTATCATCCTATAGCACATGTTGCTTTGTTGAGTCTCCATCAATTTAGCGAATTTTCCGCCACAAAAGCAAGTTTCCAGAGTAGAACAACAGCTTTCAAAGTAAGGGCTACACAATTAAACAGGAAACAACACTTACTAGAAACAGATTTTCTTTATTATTAAAAAGACTTTGTTTATAAAAACTTGGTGGAAAACTGGGAACACAGCCTTCTGGGAAATGTAGTTTGGGAAGGCGAAGCCCCCTGTAGCAGAGAATGCAAAGGCCCTGCCCTCAACTTCATTTCCCATAATGCAGTGCTCAGCATTAGAAAGCCCCAATGATGGCTGGAGCAGCCAGCCATTTAGAGTCAGTCTAATAATAATAAATAAAATTATTGAATCTTCAAAGAGGACTAAAGTAAGTTAATAATAGTATATCTCTGTTCTAAAGTTGAAGTTATGTGGCTGTGTGTCATAAAGACAGTCATTCAAGGGGATTACTGTTATCGTTTTTTGGGGGGAATAAATGGCTTTTAAAATCTGTAGATGTGCAAATCTTTCTGAAACTTCTGAGGATTGATGCCCAGGTGATCTTGTTCATTGTAGATAAACTTTGAGTAGATCGCTCTTGTAGTTTTTTTAAAAATGTTGTTTGTAAAAACTTTGAAAATTCCCCCAAAATCTGTGGATAAGTGAAATGTTCTGAAATTTGGTGGGCCAGCAATGGTAAATGTGTTCTATCATTGTAGGAAGTTTCACTCCAGTAGCTTTAAAAATGAGGGTGATAGGAGCCCCCGAAGTTTCCCCAATTATAGTCATTTAATTTTGCGCAATTACTCTAACAAAATGTTGTTAGTCTTGTTATTGTAATGAAATTTTCACTAAGTATTCTTTAGAAACACTTTAGAAACGAAGCTCCATCGCCCCCGAGTTTTGTCATGAGTTTTGAACCATTGTTTTCATGGATCACACATCCCTACTCACTGCTTCTCAGCTCAGACGGAAAGATATTAGCCAAAGCATTCACAAGTTGTGCAGATCCCCTTCTATTTCCCAGTTGCGAACCTGAGCCCCCTGAGCCCGCCTCCAAATCCTCCTGGGAAGCCTGGCTCTTCTGTCGTGGATGCGGCCGGGGAGGCGTTAATGGAATCTGGAAATTGGATTTCGCACCGATTATGAGATGTGTCTCTTCCGATCAACAGACCGGAAATAATTAATTACAAAACCAATTATACCACCATCCTAATAAATCACATTTGATACAAAAATGGTTCCAGGGAGCTTGGAAGGAAAGGGGAGCCTTACGTGTGTGTGTGTTTGAGAGAGGGGGACTCAAGGGATTGGAGCTAGGTGAGCCAAAGGAGAAACGAGTATGATTCGGTTTGCAAAAGGTGAGAAGATGAAGCATTTCCACACTACCAGATGTGTTGGGAACGGAAAGCACGCTGCACGTGCTCAGAGCCCCCTTTGGCGTGGGTGTGGCAAATCCATGTTGTCCCTCTGCGAAATTAGAAACGGTTTTTGGGTGCACTTCCCAAACCTAGGACTCTCAAAGAACCACAACTGTCATCCGCCCCAACCCATGGGATTTGTAGTTTCTCAGTATTGGGAAGAACTACAACTCTCATCTGCCCCAACCAATGGGATTTGTAGTTTCTCAGTGTCAGGAACAAGAACTGCAATTCTCATCTTCCCCAACCAGTGGGATTTGTAATTTCTCAGTGTTGGGAACTAGAACTACAACTCTCATACTGAGAAACTACAAATCCCATCGACCCCAACCAATGGGGTTTGCAGTTTCTCAGTGTCGGGAAGAAGAACTACAACTCTCATCCACCCCAACCAATAGGGTTTGTAGTTTCTACATGTCAGGAAAAAGAACTACAACTCTCACCCTACTTAAACAATCGGATTTTTAATGTCACAAAGGTAAATAGAGTCTGGAGTCATTTCGAGCAGCCTTGCCCCCAACCAGAGTCTCTGCTTAGACTACAAGTCCCCTCAGCCTCACCAAAGGGTTTGGGGTCGACAGGAGTTGTAGTTCAAGACGTCCTGAGTTTAGGAACAAACCAAATAGCTAAATTTGGTTTGTTTCCTTCCTAAATTTCCTTCCTAAATAGCAGCCGGCAAGGTTCGCCATAACTCATAATCCTTGGATCCTGTTCCATTTTACAGCCCCTTTTCTCATTTTCCGGCAATGCAATGCTGCTGACAGCGAACGGGGAGGAGGAGGGAAAGCCAAGACACACGCAGCACACGCAACGCCGCCACCCAGCCCTGCTTGCTCCTCAAAGGGCTGCTTTCTCCCCGCTCGTCTCCATCCTGCTCCCGAAACCATGGAAACAGAGAGCAAGAAAGAAGGGCTTGGATGGGAGCACAGAAGAGAGGCGAGGAAAACACACACAATAGGGAACACAAAGGTCTGTGCCAAAGCAGACGCGGAGGGTGTGAGGAAGGGAAAAGCACCCAGGAGCCCCGCCATCGCAAAACCCGGAGCCCGGGAGACCTTGCCTGTTGCCACCACAATTGGGAGCGTGATGGCACTTCCCACAACAGGGAGAGATGTTGCCCTTGTGCCTGAAATGCAAGAGCCCTGGCAGCAGAGAATACGACTGATAGGTGCAGGCGGAATCCTTCACGGCTAGAGTTGGGTTAGAGTTACAGTTAGAGTCAGGATTAGGGTCAGGGTTAGGTGTTACAGTTTGAGTTAGAATTAGAGTTAGGGTCAGGTTTAGAGTTATGGTAGAGTTATTGTTAAAGTTAGGGCTAGGGTCAGGGTTAGAGTTAGGATTAGGGTTAGAATCAGGGTTAGAGTTACGATTAGGGTCAGGGTTAGAGTTACAGTTAGAATTAGAGTTAGGATTAGGGTCAGGGTTAGAGTTATGGTTAGAGTTAAAAGTAGGAATATGGTTAGAATCAGGGTTAGTTAGGATTAGAGTTAGAATCAGGGTTAGAGTTAATCTTAGCTTTAGGGTCAGGGTTAGAGTTATGATTACAGTTAGGATTAGGGTTAGAATCAGGGTTAGTTAGGGTTAGGATTAGAGTTAGAATCAGGGTTAGAGTTAAGGACAGGGTTAGAGTTAAGGTCAGGACTAGAGTTATGGTTAGAGTAAGATTTAGGTTTAGGATTAGGGTTAGAGTCAGGGTTAGAGTTAGGATTAGGATTAGGGTAGAATCAGGGTTAGAGTTAGGATTAGGGTCAGGGTTAGAGTTATGGTTAGAGTTAGAAGTAGGATTATGGTTAGAATCAGGGTTAGTTAGGGTTAGTATTAGAGTTAGAATCAGGGTTAGAGTTAAGATTAGAGTTAGGGTCAGGATTAGAGTTATGGTTTGAGTTAGAAGTAGGATTATGGTTAGAATCAGGGTTAGTTAGGGTTAGTATTAGAGTTAGAATCAGGGTTAGAGTTAAGCTTAGAGTTAGGGTCAGGGTTAGAGTTATGGTTAGAGTTAGGATTAGGGTTAGAATCAGGGTTAGTTAGGGTTAGGATTAGAGTTAGAATCAGGGGTAGAGTTAACGTCAGGGCTAGAGTTATGGTTAGAGTAAGATTTAGGTTTAGGATTAGGGTTAGAGTCAGGGTTAGAGTTAGGATTAAGGTCAGGGTTAGTTAGAGTTAAGGTTAGGATTAGTGTTAGGACTAGAGCTAGAATCAGGGTTAGAGTTAGGGTTAAAGAGGGTCAAGGTTAGAGTTAGAATTAGGATTAGGGTTAGAGTTAAGATTAGGATTAGGGTTAGAATTATTTAGAGTTAAATTAGAGTTAGGGTTAGAACTAGAGTCAGGGTTTGAGTTGGAATTTGAGTTAGGGTTGGAATTAGAGTTAGGCTAAGAGTTAGCATTAGAACCAGGGTAAGAATTGGGATTTAGAATTTGTGTTAACAATTGAGTTATGGTTAGCATTGTGGTTTGGGTTAGGTTAAGGTTAGGGTGCACAATAGAGTTACGATTAGAGATAGAATTGTGGTTAGCGTTAGAGTTAAGATTAGAATCGGGGTTAGAGTTAAGGTCAAGGTTAGTGAGAGACTTAAGGTTAGAGAGAGAGTTCGGGTTAGAATCAGGATCAGAGTACAGTTGGTTAGGTCAGGGTTGGAGTGAGGATTTCTTTACGAAACGAGTCCATTGCAGCCAATTCCTGCCATTGGAGATAAAGTCTTCAAAAACCATGCCGGTTTCCAAAGTTCTTTGTCATTTTCAGCTCTGGTTCTGTGCAAAATTCGCAATGGGCTGTATTCCTGTGCCAGAACTCAGCCACATATGAATTTGGCTCCAAATAAGTGCAGAAAGCAATATCTTTGTGCGGAAATATTATTTGCTGTGCTCAAAAAATTCAGTTTCCCATTCGAAAGAACTACAGTCAACTATACATGGCTTTAAAAAACAAGTCCCGAGCGCAAACTTTTGAGATATTGTACATAAGCGTTATAGACAATGTATGTAACCCCTATGCGCATGCTTTTGTTTCTCCTCCTCAGGCAGAATGCCGGAATTTTATCAAGGTCCTGCTCCTTCGCAATGACAACATGCTCTTTGTCTGCGGTACCAACGCTTTCAACCCAATCTGTGCCAACTACAGCGTGAGTAACTCAGATTTACACAAACCAGTACACTGAAGGGCGCATCTACACTACTGAAATAGCATAGTTTGATTCCGCTTTCACTGCCACGGGTCAAAGCGATGGAATGGGGGAAAGCTCTTGGGGTCTTAGTGGACAACAAATTGAACTTGAGCTGAAAATGTAATGCAACAGCTAAAAAGGCCAGTGGGATTTTGGGCTGCAGCCAAAGGAGTCGAGTGTCTAGATCGGAGCTTTTCAAACATTTCATGTTTGGGATATGCCCCCTTTCGCAACACAGCCATTGAGTTTTACTACCAAACCCGAGGTTCAACCTACCCCTTACAACAATTTCATACAATATACATTATCCACACACACACACACTAGCTTGGGTACCCAGCGTTGCCTGCATAATTTGAATTTGTCTGTTTTTGATTGTACAAAATGCATAAGCTTGTGGGTGAACTACAACTTATATTATGCCAGGTTAACTTTAACCCCGAGAAACTCCATCAGTACTTAAAGTTTGTTATGTCGGGCAAGTTTGCTCTAGATGCATCATCGGTAGGGTTCAGCGTGCTCTCTGGCTGTAGGGTAAACTACAACTCCCACTATGGTGAGTCAGTCTCCTCAAACTCCTCCAGTAGGTTGAGTTAGTCATGAGGGTTCTGTGTGCCAAGTTTGGTCCAGGTCCATCATCGTGGAGGTCACAGTTTCTCTGGTTGTGGGTGAACTACAACTCCCAGAAAGGAAGGTCAGTTTCCTCCACACCCCTCCAGGGTTCGGATTTCAGTATATCAGGTCTGTGTGCCAAGTTTGGTCCAGATCCATCTGTGTTTGGGTTCACAGTGCTCTCTGGATGTAGGTGAACTACAACTTCCCCCAATCAGGGTGAATTTCCCCCAAAGACTTTGAGTATTTTTTGCTGGTCATGGGGGCTCTGTGTGCCAAGTTTGGTCCAATTCCATCTTTGGTGGAGTTCAGAGTGCTCATTGAATTGCAGGTAAACTTTACATCCCAGTACCCACAACTCCAAAACGCCCATGTAGGTAATTCACCTACAGCCAGAGCGCACTATAAATCCAAACAATGATGACTCTGGACCAAACTTGGTGTGCTTATCCAATATGCCCAAATTTCAATACTAGTGCATTTTGAGGTGAATTGATCTGGATATTTTGGAGTTGTAGGTACTGGGATTTATAGTTCACCTGCAATCAGGGAGCACTCTGAACTCCACCAAAGCTGGAATTGGACCACACTTGGCATACAGAGCCAGCACTCTGATTCTGTAGGGACTGAACCTTTCAGGAGGTTTTTAGACAGACGCTGCATGGCCATCTGTCGGGAGGGTTTTGATTGTGCTTTTCCTGCCTGGCAGATGGGGGTCGGATTGGGTAGTGCTTGGGATCTCTTCCAACACTAGGATCCTATGGTTTTAGTAATGATGATGATGATGATGATGATGATGATGATGATGCGATGCAGAGGCTGGGTAGCCATCTGTTGCGATGGCTTTGACTGTGCTTTTCCTGCCTGGCAGAAGGGGGTTGGATTGGATAGCCCTTGGGACCCCTTCCAACACTATGGTTGTATGAATCCCTGGAGTTTTCCCTCTTTAGCTGAGAACAACAACAACAAGTAGAGGCTCGCTGGCCATCTGTTGGGAGGGCTGAGAAGGCAAAAGACCTTGGGGGTGGAATACAATGCCTTGAACCCCATCTCCTTGAATCCTGGTATCAACCCACAACTTTGAGATCTCCCTCTCACCTGCCTTGCTTTTCCTTCTAACAGATGGATGCCCTCGAACTCATTGGGGACAACATCAGCGGCATGGCCCGGTGCCCCTATGACCCCAAACATGCCAACGTCGCCCTCTTTACAGGTCAGTTGGGGACCCATTGGCGGGCATCCTAGATGGGAGGGAAGCATCGAGTCCATACACATCTCAGGGAGAAGAACGACACCGGGATGCTCTTGGTAGCCATTCCAGTTCAGTTCCAATTCACAACTCAGGCTTCCCATTTTTTTCCATTGATCGGAGATAAGAGTTTCTCTCTCTCCTGCATTGGAAGATTGCTTCGAGAAGTTGATGGAAGGGGAAGAATTTCGCAGCAAACTTTGGTCCCTTCCCTGACATACATCCGATTTATTCCGATACCCCCCATTGGACCCTACAAAAAATTCAATATCCGATCCGTGATTCGAGATTCTCATTCCCGCACTGGAAGATTTCTTTGAGTTAAAAGGGAAGATTTAAAAGGGCAGCAAACCAGGAATGGAGGCCCTCCGAATCCGAATCTAAATATATTCCCTTAATCTCTTATCTCCGATCAATGATTGGAGATAAGAGTCTCTCTCTCTCCTGGGGGGAGAATTTCCACAGCAAACATTGCAAAAGAGTTCCTTGCCCAACATACATTCAATTTATTACAACACCCCATTGGGCCCCACAAAAATATTCAATACCCGATCAATGATTGGAGATAAGATAAGATAAGATAAGATAAGATAAGGGCCTGGTTTTAGCACAGCAGGTTAACCACCATCTGCAATAAATCTTGCCAATCGAAAGGTTGGCAGTTGGAAGCCCAGGTCAGGGGTGAGCGTCCGACCTTCAGCCCAGCTTACTGCCCACCTAGCAAATCAAAAACAGCTGTGAATAGGTAAATAGGTACAGCTTAAGCAGGGAGGTGTTTTAATGGCACCATAAGAAAATACCAAAAAAAACGCTGGCGATTCGATCAAAGGAGGAACTCTGTGAACAGGGCTCTTTGGTATGGTGGATGGAGCGAGAGCACCCCCTCGTGGCTGGAATCGAGTACAACCTCCAAGACGCCGAAGATGGGAAAAGCGTAGATACCTCTTATCTATGTACTGTGTCTGTCCTGTCAGTGGAAGATTGCTTTAAGAAGTTCAAAGGGGGGATTTAATGGGGTACAAAACCAGGATCAGGGCCCTCCAAATCCAAATATATTCCACATGTACATCTCTTATCTCTGATCAATGAATGGAGATAAGAGTTTCTCTCTCCCACTCTCTCTCCCTCTCTTGCATTGGATGATTGCTTCAAGGGGTTGATGGAAAGGGGGGGAAATTTTACAGAAAACTTTGGGAAAAGTGTTCATTCCCCGACCTACATCGGATTTATTTATTTACTTATTATTTATTTATTTACAGTATTTGTATTCCGCTCTTCTCACCCTGAACGGGACTCAGAGCGGATCACAGAAGACATATACAACAAACATTCAATGCCATTATACACTGACAGGAGAGACACAGTACAAAGATAGAGGTATATAGGCTTTTCCTATCTTCAGCATCTTGGAGGCTGTGCTCGGTTCCGGCCATGGAAAGGTGCTGTCTCTCCATCTTCCCAGCTGAAGAGCTTTGTTTATTAACTTTCTCCTTTATCGAATCGCTGGCATTTTTCTGGCATTTCCTTATGGGTGCCTTAAATACCGCCCCGCTTAAAGTGGTACCTATTTATCTACTCACATTGTTGTTTTTTTTACCTGCTTGGTAGGCAGAAGCTGTGCTGAAAGGCCAGGAGCTCACCCCAACCTGAACTTCAAACTGTCAACATTTTGATTGGCAAGATTAACTGCAGTTGGCCGTTAACCTTCTGTGCTAAAGCCCGGCCCGATTTATTGCAATACCCCCATTTGGTTCCACAAATAATTCAATATCCAATCATTGATTGGAGATAAGAGTTTCTCTCTCCTGCACAAAAAGATTGCTTTAAAAAGTTGAAGGGAACACCAAAGCAAGAATGGAAATCCTTCAAATCTAGGTCTATATATATATATATCCATATATCCCACAGGTTCTGTGCATCCTCCAGTTTCCTTAGTTTCTTATCTCCAATCACTGATTGGAGATAAGAGTTTCTCTCTCTGGTACCAGAAGATTGCTCTAAGAGGTTGAAGGTGACACCAAACCAAGAATGGAAATCCTTCAAATCTAGGTCTAGATATATATCCCATGGGTTCTGTACCTCCACCAGCTTGTTTAGTCTCCTATCTCCGACCCATGATTGGAGATAAGAGTTTCTCTCTCCTGTGCTGGAAGATGGCTTTGGGAAGTTGAAAAGGGAGATTGAAGGGGACACCAAACCAGGAACGGGAGCCCTTCATTTCTAGAGATAGATAGATAGATAGATAGATAGATAGATAGATAGATAGATAGATAGATGGATTTCCCATGGGTGTAGCTTCCCTTAATCTCTTATCCCTGATCACTGATCCAAAAGAAGGGATCTAAAGGGATGTGCTGAAAAATAGCTCCCCTCCTCCTCATCTAAACTCATTGGGCCCCTCAAGAACCTCTCCCCAATTTGGCCCACAATTATTACTATCAACCTTTTCTCTCTTCCCACCATCTTGCTTCTCTCTTCATTAATTTCCCCCTCTTCTCTCCCATCTAGGCTTCTCAAATCTTCCTTTCCTTTTATCCATTCTTTCTCCTCCTTTCCCCCCATCTTTTCCTCTTCTTCATTACTCCTCTCCTCCCTCTTTCTTTTTACCTTTTGCGTTCTCCTACTCCTCTCTTCTTCCTGATTCTCTACTCCTTTTTCCCTATTCTTTATTTCTCCTCTTCTCATTCTTTCCTTTTACTTTCTGCATTCTCCCGCTCCTCTCTTTTTCCTGCTTCGTTCCTCCTCTTCCTGGCTCCTTCCCTTGTTTGAAGTCCTCCCTGAGCCGAGAACCAAATGCTCCCCCCAACAAACGAATGGCCTCCGAGCCTTCTTTCCCCTCCTTCCCCTGACGGCATTTCTCATCCATCCTTCACCTTCTCTCTCTTTCTCTCTTTCTTGTTCTCTCCTTCTTCCTCTCTCCACGGCAGGCGGAATGCTCTTCACGGCCACCGTGACGGATTTCTTGGCCATCGACGCAGTGATTTATCGCAGCCTGGGAGACAGCCCGACACTGCGCACTGTCAAGCATGACTCCAAATGGTTCAAAGGTGCGCAAAAGCCACAGCAAAGAAGAACGAACTATGGTTAACTACAGCCAGACTACATCTCCTGTCTTCCTCATCCTTTGAACTTCATGACTAGAGTTGATGGGAGTTTAATCATAATAATCATAATAATCGCTGTTGGGGTTGCCATTCCCATTATCCCCAGATAATCAACAGTGATGGGAGTTGTTGTTCAATATTGTTGTTGCTGTTGTTGTTGTTATGTTTATACCCCATTCTATCTCCCCAAAGCGAACTCAGAGCGGCTTCTGGGTAAAATCAGATATTATTATTATTATTATTATTATTATTATTATTATTATTATTATTATATTAATACCCAACTATATCTTCTCAAAGTGGGCTCAAAACAGTTTCCGGGTAAAATCAGTTTTTTATTATTATTATTATTATTATTATTATCATCATTATTATATATTATAAAATAATAATAATAATCTCCCCAAAGCGGAATCAAAATGGCTTCTGGGTAAAAATCAGATTATTATTATTATTATTATTATTATTATTATTATTATTTTATACATCATATTATAATAATTATCTTATCTTATCTTATATTATATTATATTATATTATATTATATTATATTATATTATATTGTAATAATAATTTTATATATTATATAATAATATATTTATTTATACCCTGCTTTATCTCCCCAAAGGGAGATTCTTCATATTATATATATATATGCATATAGATTTATAGATTTATATATATATATATATATACACACACACACACACACACACCCCACTTTACCTCTCCAAAGGGGACTCAAAATGCCTTTTGGTTAGAATCAGTTTATTATTATTATTATTATTATTATTATTATTATTATTATTATATTAATTATTATTATATTATATTGTAATATTAATTATATATATTATATAATAATATATTTATTTATACCCCACTTTATCTCCCAAAAGGGGACTCAAAGTGTCTTCTGGGTAAAATCAGTCTGAAGGATTTCAGACTGTTCCTTTTTAATTAAATTGCATTGAAACCCTTTTAATGTCAGCCACTTGGAGTCTACTTTGTGGAGAGAAAAAGCAGGGTGGTAGTAATAAAAATTATTATTATTATTATTACTAATATAAAAAACTGAAGAACACTGGCCACTATGTACTCTCTCTTTCTATATATATGTATATATCCGGTGCTGCATGGATTCAAAGGTCCTTTAAAGATAACCCTAAGGCTGATAAGTTTGATACTGCAGATATTGATACTGTTGTTACGGGGTCTTAACTGATCAATGCCTTTTGAACTGAATCGACTTGAGAAGGACCCTTGCCCAATCTGGCTTTGACAGCCAATTTATTTTGTGTTTTTTGTTGTTTTTCGTCTCAATGCAGAACCCTACTTTGTCCACGCCGTGGAGTGGAAGAGCCACGTCTACTTCTTCTTCAGGGAGATTGCGATGGAATTTAACTACTTAGAGAAGGTGAGCATAGCAGGGGTCCAGAGTGGCAAACAAACACAATTGTTCCAGGTAAAGAGATCTGCCCAAAGCAGAACGCAGCGTGGCTATGATTTCCCTCTCTCGCGACACTAGACTCCCATCGATACCGCCTTTCTCGCTGCCATGTCACACTGTTGGTTCAGATTCAGATTCTGCTTTGCTTTTCATTCCAAGCAGAGCACACAGAATACAACTTCCCTTGATGGAGACATCAAGGTGCCTTGAATCGGCCTTTTTGGCTGTTGCGTCACATTGTGGCCTCATGTTGAGTTTATGGTCTATTAAGACTCCAAGATCCCTTTCCCATGAATCACAGAGTTGAAAGAGACCTCTAAAGGCCATCTAGTCCAACCACCTTCTGCCAGGCAGGGAAAACACAATCAAAGCACCCCTGACAGATGGCCGTCCAGCCTCAATAATGATGATGATGATACTACTACTAATAATAATAGAGTTGGAAGAGACTTCATGGGCCTTCTAGTTCAACCCCCTTCTGCCGGCTTTGGTAAATCCAGAGAAACCTTAATAATAATAATAATAATAATAATAATAATAATAATATAATAACAACAACAACTATTATTATTATTATTATTATTATTATTATTATTTATATACCATTTTTCTCAACCCCTGGGAGAACTCAAAGCAGTTTTCTTGACTGCTTCATCTCACTCCCCAAATGCTTGCTTGAAACACCACAATTTAAGTAGTTTCCTAAATGTCAGGAGGGAGGAAGCTGATCTGATCTCGCTGGGGAGGGAGTTTTACAGCCGAGGGGCCACCACCGATAAGGCCCTGTCTCTCGTCCCTATCAGTCGCGCCTGCAAAAGCTGTAGGACCGAGAGCAGAACCTCCTTAGCTAATCTTAATCCTCATAAAAGGAGATACATTTTGATAGGTAAGCTTGGACTGTTTAGAGATTTATCGGCTAAAGCCAGCACTTTGAATTGTGCTCGGTAGCAAACTGGCAGCCAGTGTTGCTGGCTCAACAGGGGGGTTGTATACTCCCTGTGAGTCGCTCCAGTTAGAAACCTGAATGAGAACTGAAATGGTTGGCCTGCCATAGTAAACTGTGATAAGAACTGTGACAGTGATAAGAGAAATGTTTACATCTGTTTACACCTGTCAACATTTGCTGCCCAGTAACTGGTTTAACTCTAAAGGAAATTATCTCTGTTTACATTATCAGAGATAATGGCTCTTTAAGTTAAGGAAATGTTTACAAGGTTCCTTACATTAAGAGAGAAGTCAACACAAGGCTGCTTACGTTTAGCAACATCAATTAAGAAGATTCAACACCTGAGATCATCTCAGGTATTGACTCTTAGAATATTGATGATGATGATGATGATGATGATGATGATGATGATGATAGAGTTGGAAGAGACCACATGCGCCATCTAGTGCAACCCCCTTCTGTCATTATTCAGGAAAAGCACAATCAAAGCCCCCCGACAGATGACCATCCAGTCTAAATATTATTATTAATAATAATATTTTATTATCCGTGTTGTTCTTCCTGCTCAGGTCGTGGTCTCACGAGTGGCACGGGTGTGCAAGAATGACATGGGCGGCTCACAGCGGGTGCTGGAGAAGCAGTGGACCTCCTTCCTCAAGGCCCGGCTCAACTGCTCGGTGCCGGGGGATTCCCACTTCTACTTCAACGTCATCCAATCAGTCACTGACATCTTGGAGATTGACGGGAGGCCTGTGGTCCTGGCGGTCTTTTCCACCCCGGCAAACAGGTCAGAGCTCCGTTTCTCCATTGTGTCCTATTACGTTATATAACACGGCTTTTATTCTTGGGTTATCAATATCATTTCCTAATTGATTCGATCATAAAAAACATGGGAAAAGTTGACTCACATTGTTGGTGGTCTACTAAGCTCCCTTTCATACAAATTGTTGTTACACCAGCACTGGTCCCCACCAATCCCGTTGTCCTCAGTGCTGTCTCTTTTCCGAAAAACAATCGCAACTTTGTTCTCTCCTTCCACAGCATTCCTGGCTCAGCTGTCTGCGCTTTCGACATGACCCAAATTGCCTCTGCCTTTGATGGCCGTTTCCGGGAGCAGAAATCTCCCGAATCGATTTGGACCCCGGTGCCGGAGGAGTTGGTCCCCAAACCACGGTGAGCCAAAGAGCAGCAGCAGTACTTTCAAACATCAGATTGTTGCTTTGTGTGCAGCCCAGCTTTGGGTGTATCTGCGCTGTGAAATTAATGCAGATTGACATCACTTTTGCCAACAGAGCTCAACAGTATGGAATCTTGGGACAAATAATAATAAATTTTATTTGTATTCCGCCCTTTCTCCTAGAGGGGACTCAGGAGAAACATTCAATGCCTGATATAACAATAATTTATTGTATTGTCTAAGGCTTTCATGGCCGGAATCACTGGGTTGTAGGTTTTTTCGGGCTATATGGCCATGTTCTAGAGGTATTTCTCCTGACGTTTCACCTGCATCTATGGCAAGCATCCTCAGAGGTAGTGAGGTCTGTTGGAACTAGGAAAAAGGGTTTATATATCTGTGGAATGACCAGGGTGAGACAAAGGACTCTTGTCTGCTGGAGCTAGGTGTGAATGTTTCAACTGACCACCTTGATTAGCATTTGATTGCCTGGCAGTGCCTGGAGCAATCTTTTGTTGAGAGGGGATTAGATGTTTGTTTGTTTGTTTCCTTTCTGTTGATGTGCTGTTCTAATTTTAGAGTTTTTTTTTAATACTGGTAGCCAGATTTTGTTCATTTTTATGGTTTCCTCCTTTCTGTTGAAATTGTCCACATGCTTGTGGATTTCAATGGCTTCTCTGTGTAGTCTGACATGGTGGTTGTGAGAGTGGTCCAGCATTTCTGTGTTCTCGAATAATATGCTGTGTCCAGGTTGGTTCTTTAGGTACTCTGCTATGGCTGATTTCTCTGGTTGAAGCAGTCTGCATTGCCTTTCATGTTCCTTGATTCGTGTTTGGGCAATGCTGTGTTTGGTGGTCCCTATGTAGACTTGTCCACAACTGCATGGTATACGGTAGACTCCTGCAGAAGCGAGAGGATCCCTCTTGTCCTTTGCTGAACGAAGCATTTGATTTGGGTTTCTTTTCTTCTTGTAATGGGAAGAAGAATGTTATGGGGAAAGGGTAGGTGGAGGAATAAGGATATCGATGAACAGGGATGGAGGGGGTTGTGAAAGGTGTCCTCTGAAGTTTGCCGTCTTCTTAATCGCCTTCCAATGCTCTGTCTTTTCTTGCCTTCCAGACCGGGCTGCTGCACGGCGCCGGGGATGCGCTACAACTCCTCTAGCTTCCTCCCGGATGAGATCCTCAACTTCGTCAAGACGCACCCGCTGATGGACGAATCGGTGCCATCTCTGGGTAACGTGCCCTGGATCGTCCGGACCATGACCCGGTATTTATTTATTTATCGTGTCAGGAGCAACCAGACATTGGTATTACATTTTTAACAAAACAAACAAACAGACAGACAGACAAAACACAAAGTTTGCAAGCTTGGCAGTTGATTAAATGTCCTTTGACCAGTATCTGGCCACTTGGAGTGCCTCTGGTGTTGCCGCAAGAAGGTCCTCCATCGTGCATGTGGCAGGGCTCAGGTTGCATTGTGGCAGGTGGTCAGTGGTTTGCTCTTCTCCACACTCGCATGTTGTGGATTCCACTTTGTAGCCCCATTTCTTGAGGTTGCCTCTGCATCTCGTGGTGCCAGAGCACAGTCTGTTCAGCGCCTTCCAAGTCGCCCAGTTTTCTGTCTTGGGCCCGGTCCTGGTCAGGATCTTTATTAATGACTTAGATGAAGGGTTAGAGGGCATGATCATCAAGTTTGCAGATGACACCAAATTGGGAGGGATAGCCAATACTCCAGAGGACAGGAGCAGGATTCAAAACAATCTGAACAGATTAGAGAGATGATTGGCCAATACTAACAAAATGAAGTTCAACAGTAACAAATGCTCCAGTTAGGCAGAAAAAACGAAATGCAAAGATATAGAATGGGGGACAATGCCTGGCTTGAGAGCAGTACGTGTGAAAAAGATCTTGGAGTCCTTATGGACAACAAGTTAAACATGAGCCAACAATGTGATGTGGCAGCAAAAAAAGCCAATGGGATTTTGGCCTGCATCAAGAGGAGCATAGTGTCTAGATCAGCGTTTCTCAATCTTCCCAATGAAGTGACCCCTTAATGCAGTTCTTCATCTTGTGTTGACCCCCAACCATAACATTAGTTTAGTTGCTCCTTCACAACTGTAATTTTGCTACTGTGATGAATCATAATGTAAATATCTGAGATGTAGGATGTATTTTCATTCACTGAATCACATTTGGCACAAATATGAAATATGCCCACATTTGGCTACTACTGGTGGGGTTGGGGGGGATTGATTTTGTTATTTGGGAGCTGTAGTTGCCGGGATTTATAGTTCACTTACAACCAAAGAGCATTCAGAACACCAATGAAGGAATTGAATCAAAATTGGCACACAGAACTCCCATAACCGCCAGAAAACGCTGGAAGGGTTTGGTGGGCACAGACCTTGAGTTTTGGAGTTGTAGTTCACCTACATCTAGGTAGAGCACTGTGGACTCAAACAATGATGGATCTGGACCAAACTTGCCACAAATATTCCATATGCCCAAATATGAACACAGATGGAGTTTGGGGGAAATAGACCTTGATATTTGAGAGTTGTAGTTACTGGGATTTACAGTTCACCTACAATCAAAGAGCATTCTGACCCCCACCAATGATAGAATTGGGCCAAACTTGGCACATGACCTACATGGCCAACACTGAATACTGGTGGGGTTGGCGGGGCTGTTTTTGAATTCTGGTAGTTGTAGTTCACCAATACCAAAAAGGAAGAGGAGGACAGGCAGAGAGATTTTGGGCCAAATTCCTACACAGAACCCCCATGACTAACAAAAAAACCCCTGTGTTTTCTGATGGTCTTTGACAACCCTTCTGACACTCCCTCGTGACCCACCCAGGGGTCCTGACCCCCAGGTTGAGAAACGCTGATCTAGATCTAAGGAAGTCATGCTACCCCTCTATTCTGCTTTGGTTAGACCACACCTGGAATATTGTGTCCAATTCTGGGCACCACAATTCAAGAGAGATATTGACAAGCTGGAATGTGTCCAGAGGAGGGCGACTAAAATTATCAAGGGTCTGGAGAACAAGCCCTATGAGGAGCGGCTTAAGGAGCTGGGCATGTTTAGCCTGAAGAAGAGAAGGCTGAGAGAGATATGATAGCCATGTATAAATATGTGAGAGGAAGCCACAGGGAGGAGGGAGCAAGCTTGTTTTCTGCTTCCCTGGAGACTAGGACACGGAACAATGGCTTCAAACTACAAGAGAGGAGATTCCATCTGAACATGAGGAAGAACTTCCTGACTGTGAGAGCTGTTCAGCAGTGGAACTCTCTGCCCCGGAGTGTGGTGGAGGCTCCTTTGGAGGTTTTTAAACAGAGGCTAGATGGCCATCTGTCAGGAGTGCTTTGAATGCAATATTCCTGCTTCTTGGCAGGGGGTTGGACTGGATGGCCCATGAGGTCTCTTCCAACTCTATGATTCTATGAGAGGCAGTGGGCGGGGTCATACAAATTCCTTACTAATGGAGAGTCAGAAACACTGGGATGTCTGTGGTGGAGGAAACACATGAAATCTAGGAGGAAATTGTCAGTGTAGGAAAGCTTTCACTTGTGTGGTGGGCAGTGTGGTGTTTGTGGAGGACATTGGCAGGGCTCTTGTACATGTTCATGGCATTCACTATAACCTATAATGTCACTGGAGGGAGGGCCGTTGGTGTCTCCTGAGCAGGGAGATATAGCAATTTGTGTAGTGGGAGCTTGTCTGTGGAAGTGGACGCCCCAGCCACACACATGCAAACATATTTTCACTTTTATTATGTGCATAGATATAATTGGCATTAAATATATAATATAGAGCTAGATAGAGGCACCAACTTTTTTTAAGAATACAAATATGTTGGTGGATAGGCTGGAGCTCTTTAATACTTCAATATACTTTGGCAAACATTGGTGCCGAAAACCCCAAAGTTTCCACTTGGAAATCTATTCATTCTTTCGGAAGAGCAGACACTGGCCTGAAACGTCCCTCCTGGGTCGTCGAATGTGCCTTTCTGGCTCGAGAGGCGCCAGGAAACAACGCTTGATTAATTTCACATAAAACAGCAATTAAGGCAGATTTAATTAGCACCAGGACATCTTGGTGGCGGGGCCAGGGAAATTAAGCCGGGGGAAAGCTGTTTTCCTGGTTTTCCTGAGCTGCCGGAAGCATTGCCCTGAGAGAGAGACATTCACCAAAAACAGCATTATATTCTTGGAATGATATTGAGCTAGCCAGAGGCTAGTGGGGTGTATCTGTGAAATAATGTCCAGGGTGGGAGAAAGAACTCTTGTTTGTTTGAAGCAAGTGTGAATGTTGCAATTGGCCACCTTGATTAGCATTGAGTAGCCTTGTAATGTTGTTGCCTAGAACCATCCTTTGTTTGGGAGGTGTTAACTGGCACTTGATTGTTGATTGCCTGTGGTTCTCATTTTAGATATTTCTCATTTTAGTCCTTTCCCATTTCCTAGGTATCAGCTTCGGAAGATTGTGGTCGACCCAGCCGCCGGTCCCGGCCGGAACCACACGGTAGTCTTCTTGGCCTCCGACGCAGGTACCGTCCTCAAGTTCCTCGTCCGTACCAACCTCAGCCTCAGCTCAGTTGCAGCGAAGGCCGGTAGCCACAGCATGCTGCTGGAGGAGTTTGAGACGTATCCAAGCGAGCGGTAAGTGGAGAGAAGAGGGAGTCAGGCAACTCTTTACCTTTAGGAAAAGAGTAAAAACCTGGCTCTTTGAGCAAGCTTTTGGAACCTCATTGTAACCAAATAAACTCAGTATTGTGAACGAATATGGAACGGCTTAACGATGCAAATGGACATGGATTTAAACCTGGAAGTCATTTATTTTTATAGCTTTAAATTGTTTTTTATATGAATTTCATTATGTTATTTAACCTGTCTTAAATGATGTATTTATGTCTGTTCGGCACCTAATTGTTGCCAGTCTGTACGCCGCCCTGAGTCGCCTTCGGGCTGAAAAGGGTGGGATAAATTTATTTTATTTATTTATTTAGAACTTCTCACCTCCACAGAGGGACTCAGGTCGGTTCACAACAACAGTATCACAGACAATCGTTTAAAAACATCACATCCCGTAATACACTATAACATTAAAATACTAAAATACAATCATATAATTACATAGGCCAAGTCGTCAAAATGAAATCGTAGTTCATCACCATCCGTCCGTGTAGTCACGAGTTATTGACTCACTCATCAAATGCCAGTTTCCAGAGCCTGTTTTCTAAAAGTCAGGAGAGAAGGGGCAGTTCTAATCTCCAGTGGGAGAGAGTTCCGGAGCCGAGGGGCCAACACCGAGAAGGCCCTGTCCCTCGTCCCCACCAGACACGATTGCAAGGATGGTGGGACCGAGAGCAGGGCCCCTCCAGAAGATCTTAACAACCTTGATGGTTCATAGGGGAGAATCCGTTCGGACAGGTAAGCTGGGCCGGAGTCGTTTAGGGATTTATAGGTTAACACCAGCACTTTGAATTGTGCTTGGAAGCTAATTGGCAGCCAGTGGAGCTGGCACAACAGAGGAGTAGTATGCTCCCTGTACCCTGCTTCTGTTAGTAATCTGGCTGCCACACACTTTTTACCATAAAAGTGTGGCAAATAAATAAATAAATAAACAAACAAACAGCCATAGTCGGGCAAACATAGAATCCTAGAGTTGGGAAAGACCCCCAAAGGCCACCCAGCCCAATCTCTTTCCTCCAGGCAGGAAGGCACCACCCAATCCCTCCTGACAGATAGCCATCCAGCCCAACCCCCTTCTGCCATTAAGGAAGGTGCCATCCAATCCCTCCCAACAGATGGCCTTCTAGTCCAACCCCCTTCTGTCATTAAGGAAAGCACCATCCCAACAGATGGCCATCCAGCCCAACCTCTTTCTGGCATTCAAGAAGACACCATCCAAGCCCACCTGACAGATGGCCATTCAATTTCAGATTTGAAAAGAAGGAGACCCCACCTGACCTCCCTGATGTATTTTCCAGATGCTTTGGACTACAAGACCCATTATCCCTATCCAATTGGGGATGATTGGAGTTGTAGAACCGCATATCTGTGAAACCCCTTGGCAGGAGACTTGTCTTCTTCATAAATTGTTCTCCAGCCTATACAAGTTAGACTGTAGCTCCTATCATCTGTGGCCAGTGTGCCCATTGAGGGTCATGGGTGTTGTAGCCTAATGTCTGGCACCCAGGTATGTCAGACTACATCTCCTTTCATCTACTAGACCAAGCAGCATATACTGCCATCAGGCGGCTCTTCACATTAAGAAGTCCATCTTAATGTTCCTAATGTTCCTAATCCATGGCTCTGTATATCATATTCTCTAGACTTGTGACTTGTGACCTAATTTCGAAGATTTAAGCATGGTTCTCATAAAACATCTCTCCTCCAAAGCTGAACATTAGGCATGTGCAAAAAAATCGGAAAGCATCGTAAGTCGGATTAGTTTCGTATGATTCATACTTACGATGCAATATCCGACACGCAGTCATGGTCCGCACCAAAAATTAAGAAACCGAAACTTACCTTATACTTTTTCGTTTTAGTTTTGTAAATCTCGGAAGGCTCCCAGTCAGTTTCATATTCAGGGCAAGGAAGCAAAGTTCAAAAAGCAAAGCCAAAAAGGCTGCCTTAATGCCTTGCCTTTCCTCTGTAAATCAACAGTGTTTGCTGTTGCACAGAACTCTGGGAAATATAGTTTGGGAAGGGAGGAGCCCTATGCAAAAGAATTCAAAAGGTTCTGCCCTAAATTACATTTCCCAGATTCATCAGCATCAGAAAACACTAATCAGGATAGCGAAGAGAGAAGTTTGTCCCTCACCAAAAATCAATGGATAAGTGAAATGTTCTTAAATTTGGTGGACTAAGAGTGGTAAATGTGTCCTACCATTATATTGAGATAGGAGCTTCTGAAGTTTCCCCAATAATATTGTTATTGTTAATGTTTATTGCTTATTTTCTGCTTATGAGTTTATTTATTGTTTTGTATTACTGTTGCTATTGTTTATTGTTGTATTGTGGGCTTGGCCTCATGTAAGCCGCACCGAGTCCCTTGGGGAGATGGTAGCGGGGTACAAATAAAGTATTACTATTATTATTATTATTGTAATTTAATTATGCGCATGCACCATTACTGTAACGAAATAGTAACAAAATTTCCACTAAGTATACTTTAGAAACACTTTCAAAACAAAGCACCAGGCCCCTCCCCAGTTTTGTAATGACTTTTGAACCATTTTTTAATGGATTGCACATTCCTAGTTATTTAGACTTGTGACCTCCTTTCCAAGATTTAAGCACAACTTTCATGTGAACCTTCTCTCCTCCAAAGCTGAACATCCTCAGCTCCTCAGAGGGATTTGTAGTTTCCAGACCTTGGCCCCAACCGTTGCTTACTGTAGTGAAATTGCTACTCTATATTAAAGTTTTGCTGTATAGCTATATGTTTACATATGGCAGATAGGGAAGAATAGGTACAGACAGGGTAGCAACAGCAGAGATTGGATTCATTTGCATATGTGAAGCCGATTGGTCATATGCAGATTAGCGTAGGCCCAGGATTTGAAAAGGCTGCTAGGCCCAAAATGACAGTTTGAGAGAGAGAGCTGAACATTTCAAGAGGGGCAGAGCCAAGGTTCTGAAAGAGGCAGTTAGAGTGAGAGAGTTTGAAAATGACAGTGAGGAATCTGTGTGTGAAGAGGAGAGTTGGTTTTTGAATGTCTGTTAGAAATAAGCAGTTATGAAGATGTGTTAAAGACTTCTGATATAGAGAAGCAGTTAGTTAAATAAAGCTCAAGTTTTAAGAAACATAAAGAAGGCTAGTGTTGCCTGAGTCAGAATATAATTCAGCCAATTAAAGCAAATAACATGTTTGTGAATGTGAAACATTGAGAGTTTATTCAGAAAAGTAAACCAAGTAAATGATTCTGACTGTAAGCCTCAAGATTGCAACAAAACACAAATGTAACCACAAGCGTTGGAGCCAGAAGTTATAAATAAACTGTGTTACTTCGTTATACACAAGAGTGTCTCACTTACCTTTCTGGCTTGCTCTTGTCTTGCAGGTGCGGCAAGGACAGCGGATACGAGCGACGATTGCTGGCCATGGAGCTGGACAAAGCCTCTGGCTCTCTGCTCTTGGCCTTCCCTTCCTGCGTGGTCCGGGCCCCTGTGGCCAGGTGCCACCAGCATTCAGGGTGCATGAAGTAAGTCCCTCTCAGAAAATCCCGAGACAAAAAAAACCCTGACACACAAAAAAAAACTCTCGCAAAAATACTGTTTCCTGCATTCCTTTGTTTTACTGCCTTTCAGGAACTGTTTGGGCAGCCGCGATCCCTACTGCGGTTGGACCCCGGAAGGGACTTGTATTTTCCTCGAACGCCATCCCAGGTATGTTGTAGCAGTGATACTATCTTAAATTCTCACATTTCGAATGCTGGCTCTTTTTCTCTGATCCACCATGCCTCTTCTTTCGGGGAACAAGTCTCAAGTCCATCTTTTCTCAATGGCTATTAGAGTGTCCCAGTTTCCTTTTCCCTCTTTTGCCTTCAGCTCACTTCAGTCCCTGCAAAATGAGTTTGGGGTGCAATACCACAGGTTTGACGGAACATGGCACATCAAGGAATTAGCTTGACACTACCTTGACTGCCATGGCTCAATGCGATGGCATTTTGGGAATTGTAGTTTCGCAATGTCCTTCGCACACTGTGCTGGTGACCTTCCAAACGATGACAACTACAACTTTCTAATTGGCATCAGTGATTGTGTCATTTTCTCCCTTTCTTGAATGCAGATTCTTTTGACTCTTCTTTACCACCTCCCTCTGTTCGCAGGGCGGCATTTGAGCAAGACATTCGCGGAGGAAGGACCTCGCACCTTGGAGACTGCGAAGGTATGCATCCATCCTTGGGCCAAGTCTCAGAGGAGGTTCCGTGTTCAGATGCTCAGACACCCACCATGATTATGATGATAATGCAACTGGCTTCCCTTCTGTTATCAATGCAATCTTGCAATGTTGACTAGCTGTATTATTATTACTAGCTGTACCCGCCACGCGTTGCTGTGGCCAACCTTCCCTCCCTCTTTGTCTCCTTTCTTTGGGGGGAGATATAGTGCATGCACACACACACGCATACACATATGGGTGTGGATAATATGGCAATGTCTATGTTGAAAGGAAGTTGTGGAGAATACCTACATGGATGTTAGTTTTACTATATTTCCTCAACTCTCCCCTCAAATACACACAGTCACGCGGGAAACAAGTGGCTCTGCTGGAGTTCACTGTTGCTCTGCCAACATGTGTATGTTGCCAAGTTGTAAAAGATAGATAGATAGAATGATTTTCAATGCATATAGCAATTCAAAAACATGCAAATGTGAGTAGAGCAATAGCTACCACTCTGGCAGGAAGGTAAGGGCGCTCCATGCAGTCATGCCAGTGGCCACATGACTTTGGAGGGGTCTATGGCCAACGCCGGTCTCTCTCTCTCTCTCTCTCTCTCTCTCTCTCTCTCTCTCTCTACCTCTCTCTCTCTCTACCTCTCTCTCTCTCTACCTCTCTCTCTCTACCCCTCTCTCTCTCTACCTCTCTCCCCCCCTCTCTCTCTCGCTCTCTCTCTTCTCTCTCTACCTCTCTCTACCTCTCTACCTCTCTCTCTCTACCTCTCTCTCTACCTCTCTCTCTCTACCTCTCTCTACCTCTCTACCATGCAGGCTGTGCAAGGCGCGCTCTCCCCTCTTTCCCATGCTTCCTTCTTTCTTTCCTCCCTTCTTCCTTTCTCTCTTTCCTCCGTTGCCACAGCATGCAAGGAGGAAGGTGAAGAGGAAGGGGTCATGGCGCCATGGAGATCGCCTGGGAAGTTCAAGGGGAAGGAGCGAGGGAGAGAAGGAAAGAGGCAGGAGAAGGAGGAATGAGAAGGAGAGGAAGCTGCCCGAAGGGAGAAAGGAGGAGGGCTTGCAAGCCTTGTGGGGAAATTCCTTCCCCACTCTCTCTCACTCACACACAACCGTCAGGGCGAAATGCCTCTTTTTTGCCTGCTTGCTTCACCTTTAAAAGAAAAAGCAAAGGGCAAGGGGAAGGCGAAGTTGTGTGTATGTGTGTGGCCATATGTGCGGGATAGGCTCCCGAGTATGCTGCCGTGAGGGAGGAAGCTCCCTGATGCGGTGAGGGAGGAAGCTCGGTGCTGCCTGCTGTGCCAGTTCTGTTTATATGGCGGTACGCGCGCACGCACTTGGCTCTCAATGCTGTAATGGCAGCTCTTCCCTTGTGTGGATTTTTGGGGTTTCTGCTGTTTCTTTGGGGGTTTTTTTGAGTGAAGGACATACATTGGGTTGTTAGGTGTATCGTGTCCAAATTTGGTGTCAATTCCCCCAGTGGTTTTCGAGTTCTGTGAATAGCACAAACGAACATTACATTTTTATTTATATAGATTATTATTCGTAGTAGTAGTAGTAGTAGTAGTAGTAGTAGTAGTATTACTACTACCGCTATCATCAACAACATTACGAAGCAACTGGCATTCCTTCTGTCATCAATGCAATCTCGCAATGTTGACCAGCCTTATTGTTGTTGTTGTTATTGTTATTATCATTATTATGAAGCAACTGGCATTTCTTCTGTCATCAGTGCAATCTCTCAGTGTTGACCCTCTTCCTTTCCACCACCTAGGTCTGGTGACCGAAAGCTTTGTGGATGAGCCAGACGGCCTGGTGTCAGTCAACCTCTTGGTGATCTCTTCCGTGGCCGCCTTTGTGATCGGTGCCGTGATCTCAGGCTTCAGTGTGTGCTGGTTCATCGGCCATCGCGACCGGAAAGAGCTGGCCCGCCGCAAGGACAAGGAGAACATCCTGTCCCACAGTGAGTCGGTGGTCAGCGTCAGCCGGATGGGCGAGCGGAGGTCCCGCGGCCAGCCAGAGAATCTTTTAGCACCGCTGATGCAGAACGGCTGGCCCAAGGGGCTCATCAAGGTCAGCCAACACGACTTGGATTCGGGGGTGTTGCCCACACCGGAGCAGACCCCGTTGCAGCAGAAGCGGTGCCCGAAACCATGCAGCTGGGAGTACAGCCACAATCTTATCAACGCCTCCTTGCGAGGTGGCGACCCGCCATCATCTGTGATCCTCCTCCATACTGGCCACAGCCCTGCAGCCCCGCACCACATCAGTGCCGGGCGCGTTTTGCCCATTTCATGCCACTCCATGTTGATGGACCAAGAACTGGAGGGTGAGACGGTGGATATGCGCTACCTCCCAATCGGCAGTGGGAGCCTTGGCAGCAGCAAAGAGAGGCCCCATGGGGTTCCATCGCCGCAGCTGCAGCAGCTCCCCCCTTCACACCGGCCCTCTGGGACCCGGAGCTCTTACGGTGGCGGTGAGATGCCCATCACGCCCCATGACAGCCCAGACCGGCGGCGGGTTGTCTCGGCTCCCAGCGGGGAGACAGGGGACTCGGCTCCGTGGGACCCCGACAAGCCCAACTCGAACGGCGACAACATCGCCAAGGCGAACATCGCACACCTGAAGAGGAACCACACATTCAACAGCGGGGAAGGACCCCATGGGGCCCGGGCACATCCACAGCACCAGCGGGCGCCCACATTGGGGCCTCACCACACCCTCACAGACTTGAGCCACTTGCTGAAATATGGCGGGATGGAGCGGACTGCCTCCTCCGTCAAATAGGGGAGCCCGCCCCCGGGGGGGCATAGCTTGGCTTGGTGGCCTCCCTCTTCACCATGAGGGGGTGGGATTTCGTGGCAAAACAGGGGGAACAACACAACCACGGAAGGACCCTGGTTCCTACGCGGGGAGGAATAGAGAGGGAGTCGGACCTGTGCGCGCCCCTAAAGGAGAGGGGCAATCATCCCGGAAGCTTCATTTGAGGCAACAAAAAAAGAAAAGCAAAGGGGGGGGACTGTTCTCTCTCTCGTGTGTGTGTGTGTGAGTGTGCGCGCGTGAGTGTGTGTGTAAGTTTGGGGGGGATTTTCATCCTGGCGCTTCCTTGTTGAACTTTTCTTTTCATGGCACATCTGGACACACGGCGGGCGGGCGAGAGGACGGGTGAGCAGGTCAGGCTTGGACGTTGCCCCATCTGCTCTGCCTCTTCTGATAGGCTTGATGCTGTCACTTTGGGATGCCACAAAAAAGAGGAGGGTGTAGAGAAGATCACAGTTGGAAGCATCTGCTCACCAGGGAAGTTGCGAAAGGGGGTATGTCATTGGCTTAATAGAGAAATTGCGGAATGAGTTACATCATCAGCTCAGTAGGGAAATTGTTGAAGGAGGTACTTCATCGGCTCAATAGGGAAGTTGCGGAAGGAGGTATGTCATCGACTCATTGGGGAAATTGCAGAAGGAGGTACAGCATCAACTCAGGAGGGAAATTGTGAAAGAAATTCTAAACTCTGGTGCAGAAAAACAACATATTCTCTACCAGCCAACCTCTTGCTTTCTCTCTTTCCCCCTTTGCTTTGTTTGGGTTTGGTTTCGCTAGAACCACCCGGTGTTTACCAATCATGAAAGGGAAAAAACGAATCAAAGACCAGTTTTCCTTCTTCCATCCCATACTAATTTCTTTCCCTTTCGAGTGAGGTTTCTCACCCTGAGACGCTCCGTATCCAAGACACAACATAGCACCTTATCCAAGTCTGCCGTTTCTTTCCTGGATTAAGAATTTGCTTAAGTGGTGCTAGCCTTCGGGTGTGAGGTGAGTCCTGTTTTGATTCCAGATCTCACACCATTTTGGCAGGGAAGGGGAAAGGGGGAGGAAAAGTGACCCAAAGAAGGTTAGTGTATTATAATATCGGCCTGATATAGGTAAAACACTTGGATTTGGAGCAGGAAAGGGAGCCAAGACTGGGACTCGTCACTTTTCTATGCTCCGGGAACCGGAACGTATTGGGAATTGATCCGATCTGGGTGATCTTTTGTGTTGTTCTGCTTGTGGGGGGCAGAGAAAGAGAGATTTGATGGATGTGTGTTGCCCCATAAATGCACTTAGGGGAGGAGGTTGGGAATCGGGAGAAAGGCAGTAAGATCTGGAGAGACGAACCTGTACTGGTTGAATCCATACCGGCTCCCATCTCCCAAATCGGATTCTTCCCTCCAAGAAACTATTCCCCGGGGCGACTATGCCCCTTTCTCTCCCGTCAAAAGGGGGGGGACCGAAATAAGCACACTGTAAATAGGGTGCGGGAAGCATGGGGCCCCGGAGGTCAGGAGCCGGGCGGGTGTGACGTCCATTTGCTCGTGACCTGTGCGCCCCCAAAAGAAACCCCCAGGACTCCTCATCTTTTAAATATGCGCGTCTCTCCTGCATGCGACAGCAGTACAAAACCTCTCTGTATCAATCTGGAGAAAACAAAGATTATCTCCCTTCCAATAAACCTTTGTTTACAACGAACGGGGCAGCTTATTTTCTTCACTTTCTCTAGGGCTACTGCTGTTTTTCCCATCCTCTTGGATGGATCGGTGGATTGATTGAATCATAAGCAGGACGATCCAGTCCAACCACCTGTTGTGTAAGAACTGGTTGATTGATTGAGTGATTGAGTGATTGATTGAGTGATTGAATTATGAGGTTGAGACCCCAAGAATCATCCAGTCCAACCCCCTGCATGTAAGAACTGATTGATCGGTTGAATTATAGAGTTGAGACTGCAATGGCCAGCCAGTCCAGCTCACTTCCATGTAAGAACTGATTGATTGGTCAATCAATCAATTGATTGAATTATGGGATTGAGACCCCAAGGGCCATCCAGTCCAGCCCATTGCCATGTAAGAACCAATTGATCAATTGAATTATAGAGTTGAGACTCCAATGGTCAGCCACTCCAACCCACTGCCATGTAAGAACTGATTGACTGGTCAGTTGATCAATTGATTGAATTATGGGATTGAGACCCCAAGGGCCATCCAGTCCAGCCCATTGCCATGTAAGAACCGATTGATCAATTGAATTATAGAGTTGAGACTTCAATGGTCAGCCACTCCAACCCACTGCCATGTAAGAACTGATTGACTGGTCAATTGATCAATTGATTGAATTATGGGGTTGAGACTCCAATGGCCATCCTGTCCAGCCCACTGCCATGTAAGAACCGATTGATTGAGTTGATTGAATCATAGTGTTGAGACCACAACGGCATCCAGACCAACCTTCTGCCAGGTAAGAATCGATTGATTGATTGATCGATCAATTGATTGACTTATAGGGTTGAGACCCCAAGGACCAGCCAGTCCAACCCTCTGCCATGTAAGAATCGATCGGTGGATTAACTCATAGGGTTGAGACCACAATGGCATCCAGACCAACCCTCTGCCAGATAAGAACTGTTTGATTGACGGATTGATCAACTGATTGACTCATAGGGTTCAGACCCCAAGAGCCATCCAGTCTAGCCCACTGCCATGTAAGAACTGACTGATCGATTGAATTATAGAGTTGAGTCTCCAATCACCAGCCAGTCCAACCCTTCCATGTATAAACCGATCGACCGATTGACTCATAGGATTGAGACCCCAAGGGCCATCCAGTCTAACCCTCTGCCATGCAAGAATTGATCAATCGATTAACTCATAGGGTTGAGGCCACAACAGCATCCAGATAAACCCTCTGCCATGCAAAAACTGATTGATGGATTGAATTATAGGGTTGAGACCCCAGTGGCAATGCAGTCCAACCCCTTGCCATGTAAGAACGAATCAACAATTGATCAATTGATTGAATCATTGAGTTGAGGCCCCAAGGGCCATCCAGTGCCATGTAAGAACTGATAGACTGACTGACTGATTGAATCATAGGGTTCTGCCATATAAGAGCTAATCAATCCATTGATTGAATCACAGGGTTGACTTATGAATAAGTTGCTTTCTCTTCTTTTAAGAAAGAAAATACATCTAGTTGAACTCAGGGCCATGTTTGTATTTCTTCTTTTCCTTCCAGCCTTTCGAAATTGCCAATTAGCTCAAGCGGAAGAGCACAAAAAATCTCCCTCGAAAAGAATGGACCCGAGAGAGGGAGACATTTAAATAAGAATAAATATTAGAAGGGTGGGGGGAAAGGAAGGAAAGGAATAAATAGAGCAAGCGTAGGTTGTGTTTAAGCTGGCAGAAGGAACAATTGGGATGTGTGTGTTTTGTAAGGAGGAGAAGGGGGGGGGGGGTACCCAGCAAGCAAGACGAAAATAGCTTCGGAGATTGGATTCCATCTACTTTTTTGCCTGAGCTGTCAATTAGGAAGCCTCAAAAGAGAAGGGAAGAAAGAGAACAGATTGATACGAGGATTTGGTGCAGAATGTGGTTTCCCCTCATATTCATCTACATTCAGCTAAGGATGGGAAAATCTAGGTGCCAATGTGCCAGCATTCCATTTAATAATGATTATTTATTGGAACGAGCCGTGTTATCTCTGCCTAGGTGCCAATGTGGCGATGTTCCATTATCATCATCATCATGGTTGCTTCTGGTGTGAGAGAATCAGTCGTCTACAAAGACGTTGCCCAGGACACACCTGGATGTATTGCAATCCTGTGGGGAGGCTTCTCTCATGTCCGCCATGCCACATTATTACAGGATGTCAATGCCCTGCACCAAAGGAGAAATTACACTGTTTAGCCGGTATTGCACCACCTGACAACCACCAGGAAGTATTATTATTATTATTATTATTATTACGGCACTCCATGCAGTCATGCCGGCCACATGACCTTGGAGGTGTCTATGGACAACGCCGGCTCTTCGGCTTAGAAATGGAGATGAGCACCACACCCCAGAGTCAGACATGACTGGACTTAATGTCAGGGGACTACCTTTACCTTACCTTTATATGTCAAAAATGTTATTAAACTTTATTTGTACCCCGCTAGCATCTCCCGAAGGACTCAATACGGCTTACAAAGGCCAAGGCTTCAACACAACAGCATAACAAATACAACTCAAAGCAAAATCAAAAACATAAAGCAATAACAACAAAACATTACACCATCTATCGATCTATCAATCTATCTATCTATCTATCTATCTATCTATCTATCTATCTATCTATCTATCTATCTATATAAATGCTCTCTGTGCATAATGAGTACCTTAAAAACAAAAGAACCAATGAACGAAATCACACCAAATTTGGCAACAAAATGTCTCACAACACAAGGAGTGACCATCACTCAAAAATTATGATTTTGTCATTTGGGAGTTGTAGTTGCTGGGATTTATAGTTCACCTATAATCAAAGAGCATTCTGAACTCCACCAACGATGGAATTGAACCAAACTTGGCACACAGAACTCCCATGACCAACAGAAAAGACTAGGAGGATTTGGTGGGCACTGACCTTGTGTTTGGGAATTGTAGTTCACCTACATCCAGAGAGCACTGTGGACTCAAACAATGATGGATCTGGACCAAACTTAGCACTAATATTCCATATGCCCAAATATGAACACAGATGGAGTTTGGGGGGAATAGACCTTGACAATTGCGAGTTGTAGTTTCTGGGATTTATAGTTCACCTACAATCAAAGAGCATTCTGAACCCCTCAAATGAGAATTGGGGCAAACTTCCCACACAGAACTCCCATGACCATCAGAAAATACTTAAGGCCATCCAGTCCAACACCCTTCACCTGGGCAAGGAAATGTAATCAAAGCCCTCCTGACAAAGAGCTATCCAGCCATAGTTATAGGTAGATATAATTCGCATGCACACATAGTATCAGAGATTTGAAAGGGATTCCTAAAGAAGAACAATTGTATGTTGCCTATTCCAGAGTAGGCAAACCAGACAATCTCCACATCAACACTGACAAAGAAACAGCAAGAAATTCTGTTTACCCACAAGCATAAAGAATTACATATATTAGAAGCCAACACTTTCTCATTACTTTATTTTCCAGATCACCAGACTGGGCCACAGCAACACGTGGCAGGGGACGGCTAGTAACACAGTACAAAGTAGGGCCGGGCCAAGTAATGGGTACAGATTAAAAAGTGCTGGGTGTGACAGGTGGTAAGTTGGATTTCAGGGCAAGTGCAATGTGCAGAGAATCTTAAACTCTAATAAAGTGCTTCTGGGATTTTTCTATTCCGGAAAGGCACATCGGAATAGCCAGGTCTTCAAGCTCTTCCTAAAGACTGCCAACGTGGGTGCTAGTCTGATGTCTTTGGGGAGGGTGTTCCAAAGTTGGGGGGCAACCACAGAAAAGGCCCTGTCCGTGTCCCCACCAAACGCGCTTGCGATGCAGGCGGGATCACGAGCAGGGCCTCTCCAGATGACCGAAGTGAATGCATGGGTTCATAAACGGAGATGCCGTCACGCAGGTAGGATGGTCCCAAACTGTTTAGGGCTTTGTAGGTAAGCACCTGCACCTTAAATTGGACTCGGTAGGTAAACGGCAGCCAATGGAGCTCCTTAAACAGGAGGGTTGACCTCTCTCTGTAAGGAGCACCAGTTAACATCCTGGCCGCCACCCGTTGAACCAGTTGGAATTTCCGAGCCGTTTTCAAGGGCAGCCCCACGTAGAGCACATTACAGTAGTCCAATCTAGAGGTGATCAAGGCATGGACCACCCCGGCCAGATCAACCTTTGCGAGGTACGGTCGCAGCTGGCGCACGAGTCTCAGTTGTGCAAAAGCCCTCCCGGCCACCGCCGACGCCTGAGCCTCAAGCGTAAGTGATGAATCCAAGAGGACACCCAAACTGCGGACCTGTGACTTCAGGGGGAGTGTAACCCCGTCCAACACAGGTTGCCACCCTATACCCAGCTGAGAATGAAAGGACCATGGCAGTGACATTTCCGGCCCATCCCCTGTTCAGATATTAGCCAGTACGCCAATGCTTTAAATCCAGAAATAGCTTTCTGAGAGAATGGGCCACCCTATCAAATAAAAAAATATATTGGACTTGGAAGGATTTGATTTACGAAAAGGATGGCATGCGTACCTTTGGTACAATAAAGCCAAGGTTGAAGAGAATTTCACCCACCACTATATTAGGGCAGCCCTCTTAAAGGTTTGGATGAAATATAAGGAGAGACTTTATAACAAAACCCCTTTGTGGCTATCCCCCATGGAAGCCCACCACAAAAGAGAGATACCATCAGAAAATCGGCTCAACTACAAACAACTTCTGAATAGACAAAATAATATATGGACACTAAAATCATTAGAAGAGATAAGACGTGAGGGACACAATTTGACATGGTTCCAATATAGACAAATAATAGATTCTTACAAAGAAGATAGAAAAGCTGATTTCAACCATCAGGATGCTATATGGGACTTAGTTATGAAGAAGGGGAAAAATAATAAGAATTATATACTAAAAGATTCTAGAATGGAACACGGAAACGGGATTGGTAAAAGAAAATATGATTAAATGGGCAAAGGATATAGGACACCCCA